CAGTGCGCGTGGTGGCGCATGGCGGGGCGGGGTGGACGGGGTGGGCTGGCTGTGGGAAAGCCCCGGGACAGCGCCTGCGCACTGCCTGCCGCAGGTGCTTTCGCTTTTCGGTTTCCTCTCAGGGCAGCAGCTTCTCGGTGCAGGCTGGTTTCCCCGAAAGCACGTGATGCGGCTGTTCCCAGTAGCCGCCTCCCCCCTCCGCGTGCAGCAGCCCGCAGACCGCAAGGCGCTGCGCCCCTAGCGGCGATCACAGAAAGGCCGCGCAAGGTCCTAAAGCCCGGCCAGGGAGCTGCTTTGGTGGGAGAATTCGTGGACATTTAACAACGTATGTGAACGTGATCCACTACCTTCACATAGCATTTAGCGTATACTCCCTGGGTTTTATTTATTTATATTTGCAGGACCCTTACAATACAGGCTACCTTTTATCCTTTTTTAAAATTTATCTATTAATTGTATGTTTTCCAATGCAATTAGTCTTTGTCAGGATAACTTTGATATTCTGTCACATGAATTGTGCTTTAATTTGTCAGCTAAAAGACTTTTCACTGACGTAAATGGAGCTTTGGCAACAGTGCCCTCCAGCACAAACCTTTCACACATATCTGGTCATTTCTTTATGGCAGATTTCCTGTAAGTCCAAGAATATTGTACAAGTTTTCACAAATTATATTTATTGTTTTTATGTGAGTATGTGTGTTCCTACATGAGTTTATGCGCACCACATGCATGCAGGGCCCTCAGAGGCCAGAGGGTATGGGATTCTCTGGAACTAAAATGGGTTACAGGTGGTTGTGTGTTGCCTAATGTCGGTACTCAAGCCCAGCCTTCCCTAAAGGCAGAAAATAGTCTTAACCACTAAGCCACCTCTCCATTCTCAGCATTTTAATGTTTAGCAGAATTTTGCATGAAGAACCACTTGTAATTAATGAAAAGAATTTGGTTTGGCAGTACGTGGCCATTCTCCCAAAAGTGTTTTAGGAAGAAACATATCGTGCACACACAGCAAGTTTAAAATGTGACATGTACCTTGTATTTTAACAAGTTGCAAGGTACAGGGGTTCCTACAGAGTTGCTATTAGTTGAGAAGGAAACACATACCAAGATAAGGGGCTATGTAAAATCTAAACCCAAATAATTAGAATAATTTTTAAAACAATGTATTTCCATTGTGATCAATTATGTTCTAGACAAACAAAGGGTGCATATCCAAGGAAGTGACATTCTGGGGACTGCATAGCGGCAAGACTTACAGGTGGCAAGGAGACTTGAGAAAGCACTGTCAGGCAATTTTAGGAATTCCAATGGATAGACATTTGGATTATGGCAATACTACTGACGAGAAGAATAGCTTAATTTGAATGTCAGTGGAGAGGCAAGAAGTCTGTGAATATTTTACTCTAATTATTTGTTGGATATTTATATCTGCCATTTTGAAACAGAGGCTGTGAAAAAATATTCCAAACCTAGCAAGTTTTTTGATGAATGTCTTAAACACACACAGGATAAAGCATTCCTTGAAGAGATGCTCCAGGGTAATGCCTCGGGAAAGAGAAATAGGCCTGTTCCACTTGAGAGTTTTTGCTTTAGAATTTAGTTCTTAGGTGTTCTGCTCCTCACCTCTCCATGCGATCTGTATCAGTGATCTGGTATATAACATATGTACAATAAATGCGAATTTTCCCCCAACTAAACATGGCAGAACAGTCATTTACCACTGCTGGATAAAGACTAGCCAATGCTCTGCTCATCTGGATCAGGACCATCTGATCTTGCCTCCTTACAAATCTAAGGCCTAACTCCGGAGAACAGCACGGACCCCACAGTGGCCCATATGGATGTCCTTCCTCCCTCCCTCCAAAGGCTAGCCTGATTTGTCCAGACATAGCAGGGCTTTAATACTATGTAATTCTAGCCTCTAAGTGATACAATGTAGTATCTGTTGCTTAATATTGTTCAAAGCAAGTCACAGGTCAGTCCAGATTCAAAGATTAAGGAAAGCAGTCCCATCTGTCTGTTAAGGAAGTAAGCATACAGCCAGCACTGCAGAAAGAAATAGAGAAGAGGTAAGCATGGTCATAGCTGAAAGTCACACATTGGAAGAAGGACTGTGGAAATGATAGTATCCATTTGCCTTACCTGGTTGCATTTCTATTTGCATGTTTCTATTTCTAGTTATTGTGAAGATGTATTTAATAACTTAATGCTATAAATACTTGGTGCAATAAGATAAGTATAGCCAATTAATATAAGTGGGTGACTGGAGAGTACAGGAAGGGGTGAGTATAAAATAGGAATAATCTTGGTTGTTGTTTTTTCCCAAGGAAAAATGAATGTTCTCCAAATGAGAGATTCAGAATGCTTTCTGAGAGCCTTTCCCCACAACATCAGGAATCATGAGTTATCCCAGTGTCTTCATTACTTGTTGTACAATGTGGGTGCTAGGTTTTTTGTTTTTGTTTTTTGTTTTGTTTTGTTTTTACCACTAAGGGCTTCCTTTTGTCTACATACAAGTTCAGGCATGGTAAAGCATAACTTCACCATTCCCAGTGATTAAAGGAAATACCCTAGCTTTTTCTTTCAAATCCCATGCAAGTATTTGTATTTATTGTTTTAAATTTTACCCCATTGCTAAAATGGCCAGCAGCTTTCTAACCTGTTAACATTAGTTAGAATGGTTGTAAAGTAGTTGTTTCAGAGGGGTGGGACAATCTCAGATACACAATGGTAGTGAACATTGTAGCAGGCTCCAGAGGGTGGCACAAGCCTTTTTCCTGGGTTAGGCTGTAGGAGCAGCTGAACTGGGGACATCATTTCCTGGCAAGGGAATGAGAGAACAGTAACAAATTGATGCTAAAGAGCATGGCAAGTTTCAGGTCCTACCTGGACAGCAGCACTGCCAACAATCCCTTTTGCTGGAAGAGTCACAAGCTTGAGTCAGGGCACAGAGAGGAATGTTCTACTATCAGAGAACCCATGACAAGTTAGGAAGGAAAAAGAAAGATCTGAAAATTATAACTTACCACATATGACATTTTTTTAAATGTCTTTTGCATATTTGATATTTGATTCAGCTTCATGTGTTGAATGCTGTAGGGTAGGTTCTGTTTAGCAGCTGATATCTTACATGGTAGTACCTATAAAATAAGAAAGTGATTTCTCTCCAAAACTGTAACTTTTAAAGATAATAGGATGTGGGCACTTCAAAAAACATGAGAGAGCTAAATAAAATCTTTGAGGGCAAGATTAGACAGATTTACTTGAGTAATTAGACAGAGAGACCAGACAGGAAGAAAGGCAAGGACATTTGTGGAGGATGTCAACTAGGAGTCAGGTCTGGGCTAGCTTTGTGAGGGTGGATGTGTGACAAGAAAATAGGCTAGACAGATGGAGAAAGAATAACAGCTATAATATACATGCACATAGGCACACCCCCAGGAAGTTACTCAGATCCTTGCTGTGCTCGATTCAATTTCCATCTACTGGAAGGAGCCAACTGATTCTACAGGTGAACATTTCAAGAAGATCTAGTTGGGCCTCGGTTATACCTATGTAGAGAAGTGACATTTGATTTGAGACCGTTAAGATGAGTTACCCATCAAATAATTTGGAGAGCACAGATGTTGGCTCAGGGGACTTTCCAAAGAGAGTACTGGTGAGAGGATTGTGAGTTTGGGGAAAGAGTTTGGCTTATTCAAAGAATAAAAACGCTGAAGCAAGCAATGAAATAGAGGCACAAGTTGTTTGGAGAAAGTGATAGGGGAACATGGCTTTATAAAATATATTGAGGAACTGAATTGTATAAGAGCAAGCAAGAAAGGCCATTGTTGTTGTTGTTGTTGTTGTTATAGATTAGAATGACATGATCAGCTTTGCAATTAGATTTTTAAAAAAAAATCACTAAAATGGCTACATGGGGAATGAATTAAGAGGGAGCGAAGAGCTGAGGCAAGGCAGTCTTTTGGGAAACTCTGCAGTAATCCAGGCAAGAGGACAGGGGTGGTGCAAGAGGTAAACTTGGGAAACAGGAGTGAGACCCAGCAAGGCTCAAGGACCAAGCGCTGGGGACAGGGAGAAGGCACATAGCTTCTGTGACTCTTCATACATCATCCCCAAACTAAGAACAGGTATAAGGAGAAAGCTGGTGGCTTTTGTTTGTAATGTAATTGGCTTACAGAGTCAATTACAGAGTATCCGAAGACAGGGAACTGTGAGCTTGGAGGAAAGCCAAGGGTTGGTATACATCCAGGACATGGAAGCTACAGGGGAGAAGGTCCTGACATTGGCATTTAGTGGTTTGCTAAAGGAGATGGGGGTCATAGAGAAGTCCAAAGAAGCACGAAAGGGCAAGCGGTTCTGGGTCATGATGACTAAGGGGGAAAAGCTTGAACAACAGAGGTGTCAATTGTGTTAAAGCTTTATTTTTCATAACTTCTTAATTAGATTTATTCATTTGATTTCATGTGAGTTATGTATATTATGTATACATGCATATTATATATGTGCACTGCATGCATACTTAGTGCCAGTAGATATCAGGGGCACCAGATCTCCTGGCAGCTCAGGTGGGCACTGGGGATCCAATCTCCGTCCTCTGCAAGAGCAAGTTCTCTTAACTGCTGAGTTTTTAAACATTAAGGTTTTTAAACATTAAGTTAAGCTGACATCCTCTGGGTTTAGTGACACGAAGGTTAATCGCTAGTCCCCAGTTCTGTGTTCTCAGCGATGCGGCTAGTTAATGCAGGATCTTCCCTTTCGTTGTTCTCCAAACTTGTAAACAGAACCCCCAGACTGAGGTTCGCACGGCTCAGCAGAGTCCCAGGTTCTCACACGGGGTGGGGAGCTGGGGACAGGAAGGGAGAGCAGCTGCCACGCAGAGCAGAGGGAGGCGATGCGTCCGCGGAACAGCCGGCTAAATCCCGCCGCTGATTGGCTGGTGCGAAAGGAGGCGGGATGCCCTCCGTCCTTTTCTCCAGCTTAGTGCTTTCGTTTTTCAGCACAGTCTGTAGAGTCGGCCGGGCTACCGCCGGGACCGCGCCCCTCAGACCCTCTTGGGACTCAGTTGAGCGGCGCAGGGAGATCTGCCCAGACTCCGGCACCCGCGTGCAGTAAGTGAGCGCCGGGTGCGGTTGCGGGCGGGAATGGGGCGCCCCTCCCATGGCCTGGGGTCTGCTGCCTTTGGATGACCTGTCACCCCACGACCACCGACTAGCCCTTACCCCGGCCATTCGCACTGCTTGCGGAATAGAAATAGACTTGTGCAATAGAAATCTCCCCCTCGGAAGACTCCGCACCTTCCCCCTGAACTCTTGCTCGCCTCACCTCATGGCCACTTTCCAACACTATAACATTTTCTTTTTTCCACAGTTGTATTAGTACTGTCCCAACCCCAGAGCGGCTGCCAGCCTGTGCGTGCAACAGGCACCTAGCTTGCTGTGTGTGGTGGTTGCTTGTGTCTCCAGCTTATATCTGGAGACAGTCCAGTAAGTGTGCTTGGGAACGAATGCGTTTGGAACCCCAATATGTAGCAGCCTGTTATTCAGTTACTGCAGAAACATTAACGGTATAATTATTATTTAAAAATAATTCCTGGGCACTACCAAAGAGTCCTGGGGTAAGTGTACAGGTGGGCGAAAATTGCTTTTATCTGATAGAAGTGACTTGAGCCCTAACTGCTCAGTGAGGATGCCAGACTCAAACTTGTAGGATCATCATGGGGTTTGCCTTTTGCTTTCCATTGCCTACTGAAACATACAAGGTTCAGTTGAACACATTGTTCTGTACACAATAATACTTATGATTTAGGTCATATACCGGGCACTGTTCAGGGTCCAGAGGATGCAAATAGCAAAACTATCCCCTCTGAGGCTCTGATGCTTACAATGCTGTGGGAGACAGCCATATACTACACAGGGAAGACACATGCTCATGTGGAATAGCAGAGCAAAATGCTACAAGGCTCGGCCAAAAGAAGCTAGATGTGGGTGTGACAGACAGCTTTAGGGAGAAGAGTCATTTATGTAGAACTTTGATTGTTGGCAGCAATGTGGTCCAGTCTGAGTGCAGGCTAGATTGGGAGGGTAGGATGTTTGTAGGAGGCATGGAGACAGGAGTGGAAGGAGTCACCCCCAAATTCGGTTTGAGCTAATTGGTTGAGGGTCTTGCCAGGCCCAGGTTTAATGAGACTATGAACTTGATTCTGGGTTTGTTAAGATGAACCTGTTGATGCACAGGTTGGTATCCGGTGCTGTGTATGTTTAGCACACCGAGTCCCAGCAAGCACCTGTGCAGAGGAGTAAGTTGTCTGAGCACTTGGCTAAGAGGTTATACAGGCACTGAGTGAGGCCTGATAGTCCATCACATGTGCTTTAGGCAATGCCCCTATTGTGGGGTGGGTGTGGGGAGGAGGCACTGATTTGAACAGCAATTTAACTAAATAAACCAGATGTAAAAAAATCAAATTGCTATACAGACATGCCACAATAATGGCTTTGAGTCTTTTTAAATGGTATTTGAAATTCATAGTCCAGACATGGAGGGACATTTGTACAACAGGCATGACTATTCCTGCACCCGAGTGTTTGAAAACAGGTATCTATCCACACACCTCCATACCCCACCTGACAACCCTAGAGGTCTGACAGGACTAGATTAGCTTCACCACTCTGAATGTGACAAAGCCGGTGGGCACTGGTTTATGTCCTGTTACATTATGGTCTTGCAAAATTTGTTCTTAAGACTTCTTTCAGCTAGGGATTGCCATAATTTTTAACCTTTAGGGTTCCAATATAAAAAGCGGCTTCATAGCTACCCACTTTATTCTTTCCAATGGCATTTAGCAATGCTGTTTGAGTATTTCTTTTTCTGACACAGTGACTCACTGTGTAACCTATAGACTAGGTTTGCGCTCAGTATGCAGCTCAGGCTGACCTTGAACTCATGGCCTTTTTGGCTCAGCTTTCCCAAGTGCTGTGATTTCAGGCATGGCCATGCAGTCCTGGCTGTTGTTTCCATCTGTGGAGATGGTTTCACTACACCTAGTTCCTGCTTTGCATGCATGAGGGCCAGGGTTTAGATCACCAACACCCGCATAAGTTAACAAACAAACAGGTGTAATGACTTGCGACTATGGTTCAGTGCTGGGGAGCGCATGGCTTGCTGGTGAGAATGTCTAATCAAAATAGATAGCGTTCCTGTTTCCAAAAAAAATGGAGAAAGGATTGAGGCCAATACCCTGGTGTTAACCTTGACCTCTACACATACCTGCCAGCACATATACAAAGGACAGTTTACCTCTTTTAAAACCGGTTTAACAAAAATACTTTACCATATGAATCATAAATAGAAAATACCAACGTAAGTCAGAGAGATGGTTCTGTGGCTAAAGCTCTTGCTGCCAAGCCAGAGAGACTTGAGCTGTGTTCCCAGGACCTGCATGGTAGATGGAGAGAACCAACTCCTGACCTCTGACCTTCAATCACATACAATAAACAAAGTGAAACAACCATAAAATAAAATACTGGCTTCAAAATATACTGTAATTTTCAGAAAAAGTTTTAGGAAGTGCTTCTAATATCTTAATTCTAATAATGTTTTCTACTTGATTGATACAAAGTAGAAATTCATTTTAAAATATTTATTGGATACCCAGTTTGTACCCGACATTGTTCCCTCTCTTTTTCTTCAGGTGAAAAAAAAAAAAGAATGAAGTAAAAAGAAAGAAAATGCTGAGTCTGGGTAGTAAGCACTCTGAAGAAAAATATGTCAAGGGAAGGGTAGTGTCTTCCGGGGAGAGGTGGTTACCTCTGAACTAAGACAGCTGGAGTAGGCTGCCTTGACCTTTGAATGAAGATTTGAGGAAATATTCTGCAAAAGAAAAAATAATAATTCCAAAATTCAATAAAAAACAAATATTGGGTATAGATACCATTCAGGTCATGTTTTTCAGAGACCAACAGGATAGAGCAGTTGTTTTTAGCCTGTGGGTCATAACCCCTTTGCCAATCCTCTATCTCCAAAAATAAATAAATAAATAAATAAATAAATAAATACATTACAATTCATAACAATAACAAAATTACAGTTATGAAGTAACAATGAAAATAATTTTATGTTTGGGGGTCACCACAGCATGAAGAGTTGTATTAAAGGGTCACAGCATTAAGAAGGGTGAGAAGCGCTGGTATAGAAGCTTCTCCTGGAGCTGTTTGTTCACTCGTGTGTTCCTTCTGCAGAGGATGTCTCAGTGGTACGAACTTCAGCAGCTGGACTCCAAGTTCTTGGAGCAGGTTCACCAGCTGTATGATGACAGTTTTCCCATGGAAATCAGACAGTACCTGGCCCAGTGGCTAGAAAAGCAAGACTGGTAAGCAAAACTCACTGGTTAGGGAATGGAGTTTGTGTTTTAAAGATGTTTGTTGATGGACTAACTTGGAGCTGTGTTTACAGATGATGATTCTCCGCGGTGGCCATAAAACCAAATTCATTAGTCATTGTTCACTAATGCCAAAAGTTTTAAACTTTTGAAAGTATTTGACGTAAAAACTCCAGGCTCCTGTTGACTGTATTTCTTTCTGGACATAAATACCAGAATAGTTTTTCTGTACAATCGCTGATGCTTTCTGTAATTTTTCATGTCAGTTGTATGAGATAGAAATACTATGCAAATTGCTAATAGATACAATGTCAACTTAAAGAGAAAAAAAAATGAATCTAAGAAGCTGGTTATCTTTTGATAATCTCAGTAGGGAAAGCAGCTTTTGTGTGTTTGAAGTAGTCTCTAGAATGAGATGTAAATTCCATCTCCTAGGGAGCACGCTGCCAACGATGATTCCTTTGCCACCATCCGTTTCCATGACCTCCTTTCTCAGCTGGATGATCAATATAGCCGCTTTTCTTTGGAGAATAATTTTTTGTTGCAGCATAACATAAGGAAAAGCAAGCGCAATCTTCAGGTATGAACCAGCTTTGTGCTTTACCGGAAGTATCTCAGTGCTTACTTAAAATCTTATTTATTTCCACTCAGCAGATGCTACTCAGTACTCACTCACTAGCATTTAGAGAAGTTACAGGAACAAAGACACTCGCTTTATGTGGCTAATGTTTATAAAGCGTAAATAAATACAATTTAAATTCATTTTAAACACAAGTTTTCAGGTTTAAGTGTGATGCTGTAAAAACTTTATTTTGCTAAAATTTGTTAATTTATATCAAAGCAGTGAGCTATGGAACACATTAAGTCCCAAGAAATTTTAGTGATCAAGTACATCTTAAGCCTTGTGGGTCTAGGTGAAGATATCCCAGGAAGGTTTGGCTCTTGTTTTAATAAAAACAAAAGGTTTCATGTGACACAACCAAACATTTCACTTAAGGTAACTGGAAGCCTTCTCTTCCGTTTTCTTTTTGAACATAGCAGGGAAAATGAAAATCATATTAAGTTTATAAAATTTGCTCTTATTCAGATTGCTTAATAGTAACTTGTTATAAGAACATGGTCACCAGAACTTTGCAAAAAAGCTTTGACAGTAGAAACAGAAAAATTGAGGGAACTGTTTTTATTCTAGTTAAAAGTATAGCTGTACTTCAGTTCCTGTGTTGAGGAATTAGTCGAAGACTATCATGAATAGTTCTTACATCATTTGTAATGTCTCCATATCCTAACATGTTACAAGTAGTTTTCCCACCAGCCTGATCTCAGATCTGTGCCAGCCCCAAATAACACGAAGAGACGCTGTCTTAGATAGAAAACTGTTGGCCTGTTACTAGTATTTGTTATTAGCTAGCTTTGTCTTAAATATTAACCCATTTCTATTCATCTAAGTGTTTCCATGTGGTCTTATCTTACCGAAGAGAGGGTGTGGACCTGTGTTCTCTTGATCCTACATGTTGACTCTCCTCCTACCTCTTCCTGAATCTTCCTTGTCTCCTAGTCTTGCCTATCTCGATTTCCTGTTGGCCAACAGGACTTTATTCATTAACCAATAAGAGAAACATATTTACAGAATGACATCTCCCATCTTCTCCTCTTTTCTGTCTAAAATAAAAAGAAACATTTAACCTTAACATAGAAAAATATATAACAAAACAGTTATCAAATAAGAACCATAGTTAACAATATGTAGTCCATTAACACTTAGCAAGATATAAAGAAAATATTTCATCATTATTCTATCTTTGTGCATCTAAAGTCCTATATGTAACTTATCTTTAATCCTAATTAAGGAAAACTATAACCATAACTATCTGTCTTCAATTCCATCAAAGACCACAGAAGGATAATATGTAAACTCTAGAAATGTCAGAGACAACTCACTGTCTGGTCAGTTACCCGAAGTTCTTCTATAATGTTCCATCTTCAGCCTATAGGCAATAGTGTGTCTGGAAGACTCCTCAGCAAAGCAGGAAACTTTAAACTGTCCACCTGTATTGGCAGTTTGTCAGTCATTTTTCTCTGTGTCATGCAGAATGTCTAGCAGATTCTTTTTCCATGAAGCAAGAATCCTACAGCAATGTCCATCTTGTATCAGCAGTCACTTTCTTGTGGGCCCTGCATGTCCAATTTATACAGCATAAAGTTAAACAGTCCAGACAAGAGCAGTATCTTGCCCAAATGGCTAGTTTTACCATATTGGAAGTAAACTCCATAATGAGTTTCTTCAATGTCCATCTTCCTTTCTGATGCAGGTGGTGTTGCCAGGAGCAGTTATGTCTCCTTGTCAAGAAAAACCCTAAACCATTTTAAATGCCATATTTTGTACGTCTTTTAAAGGTTTGAAGAATGCCTGTTTATCTCAAATACATCTCTGTATATCTAGAAATCCTAACTAACTTAACTATAAGTTTTGACTATTATAGGTAACTATCTATAATCTGTACTAAATTATACATTACATTTTTAAATGAGCTATATAAACACAATACCCAAACTAGAGGAGAAATATACATATCACAAAATTGACCTTAAATTTGTATCAATAAATGAAAAGCCCATTCCAAAACAAAGTATTCATATGTATACCATAATCTCCCTTTTACCTTTAAAGAGATTGGTTGTGGTCAGTAACCATTTATAACCAACCCCATTTAAATGAAAACAAACATTTATAGACAATATTTGGGAATTTTGGCATTGTTCTTTCCAAACTGTTTCTTGCTGGTAGAGAGTGCTGTCATGGGGATCCTAAGAAGACACAGAAATCCTGGCTGTAGTGGTCTGCAAGGCTGCCTTGTCCCAGCTGTTTTGAATGTTGGATCACCTGGGACACTGCTTGGGGGGGGGGTCTTGCTTGATCAAACCATGTTGGTCTGGAAGGAATCCACAGCTTTTCATTTTCTGTGGAAACAAAAATAGAAATTCTTTTCTCCAGTAACCTGTCCTTAGACTTAAATTTGGAAGTCAAAGCATTTTTAAAATATATAAATTGAATTAATCCAACAGAATTTCTTTTAACAGTTGTTGCTATTTCCTTAGTAGTCCAACAACACAAAGACAACAGAACAGTATCCAGACTCTTTTTGTGCTTCCTGTCTTATGGCTTTTTTATTACCCTATTTCTTTTACTTCTGTTTTTTTTTTTTTTTTTTGAGACAGAGTTTCTCTGTGTAATTTTGGCTACCCTGGAATTTACTCCGTACACCAGGTTCAGTTTGAAATCACAGAGATCTGCTTGCTTCTGCCTCCCAGTGCTGGAATTAAAGGTGTGTGCCACCACACCCAGCTACTCTCTTTTTCTTAATTTTTTTTAAACCATTTTATCCTGTTTCCTTTTCTCTCCCAAGCCTATATATGTTTTAAAACACATTACAAACCTTTAGAGGTTTTTCTTAACCTGAATCTGTCTTTATTGTAAATCTTTTTTTGGCCATGAGTCTTTTATCTGCTAAACAACATTGTTAAAATTAAAGCTACAGCTCTTTTAGCCTCGGCCTATCAAAGATGGCAGGGAGTACGTTTACTGCCAGAACTGAGAGCTGTGCTCACTGCCTTGGTCTACGCTACCATTCAGCAGGATGCTGCCAGCTTGGAGATGTGGTTACTGCCATTGCCAGCTCTCGTACATACCATTAAGTTGTTAGTAGAGCTGTTTAAAAGCTGTGTGGTTTTTTGCCGCTTATGCTGAGTCAGGAAACTTCCTTTAGAGGAGCCACGCAAATCTCTGCTTTTCTCTGGCAAAACAAGAGTCCCATCGAGAAAAATGCTGTTACTAAGAAGCCTTGCTTATCTTTGTTCTTTTGTTTCTAAAACCCATTTTTAAGCTTTTGTCAAGTTTTAAGTGAAAGTTCTTGTGTCCCATGGTACAGGCGCCATTTTGTTACAAGTAGTTTTCCTGCCAGCCTTGTTCCAGAGCCGCATCAGCCCCAAATAATGCACAGAGACACTGTATTAGATATAAAGCTGTTGGCCTGTTACTAGCATTTCTTATTGGCTAGCTCTATCTTAAACATTAACCCATTTCTATCTATCTAAGTGTTTCCACCTGGTCTTATCTTATGGGAGAGAGGGTCTGGACCTCTGCTCTCTTGGTCCTACATGTTGACTCTCCTCCTACCTCTCCCTGAATCTTCCTTGTCTCCTAGTCCCACCTATCTTGCTTTCCTATTGACCAACAGGGCTTTATTCATTAACCAATAAGAGAAACATATTTACAGAATGACATCTCCCATCACTAACACAAGACAACTAGCTTCAAGATTGTGGGAGGATAGAAACTACAGCATTTATGAAGAGGTGTGGGTGTGGCTCAGTGGTCAGAGTGCATGCTGGGCCTGCCTGAAGCCCTGGATGTTACACTTAATACTGCCCCAAGCCCTTATGATCCACATGTGAAAATATTTTCCCTTTAAACCAAATTGCTAAAATTTGGTAAGTTAAAGTAATTTTGCCCTAATTTATGAAAGGAGTATTTGTTTTAATAAAAAAATCTATTTCTGAGTGTGGTGGCATATAACTTTAATCCCAACACTCAGGAGTCAAAGGTAGGAAGATCTCTGTGAGTTCCAGGACAGTGTGACTATATAGAGAGAGCCCGTCTCAACCAAAAACCAAACCAAAACAACAGCAAAACAATTCCTTAAGTTAGATTCAGTAGATAGAAAGTAAGTTCGAGGAATAGAAAAAATTGTATTAATTGAGGATTTTATAGACTTTATACTCATGACTTCTTTTTACCCAAGAAAAATTTTTCCACAACTCCATGCATATCAGTATAGAAAATAGTTGTACGCACATCAGGTATTTATTGATGATAAATAAAAACAAATTTATTTTAAAACAATTATTTGATATACTTGTATATTACTATTTATTAAAGATTAAATCAAATTTACCTAGGCATTACTGGAGTCTTTGTTTAATATGATAAAATTCAAAGATCTATTAATTTTATTCAGATTTGGAATGACAATAGGAAAATATCAAAGGCCCTGTTTTCCATAAGTAAGCCATTATGTTACCAAAAGAACAGAAACTGTGTATGTAGTCTCAAACCCTGAATTAATTACATGCAGTCCTCTGCAATCTGAGCCAGGCTATTTTAGACCCCATGGCATATGCTGTGTGGAGACAGGTACTGTGCACAGCACCCATGCTTGTGTGCTCAGAAGCAAGGCTGCGTAGGAGTAGAACGGTGTCACACAGGAAGAGGTGCCAGAATCCACTTCAGATTCGGATGTATCTGACTTTTAACTTACTTGTAGTTTGGGAGCCTTTCACTGTTGCCAAAATGTCTGTAATCCTCCTGTTCTGTTCTGTACAGTTACTCTGAAACATAACTTTTATCCTAACCACCTGTGTCTAGGATAACTTCCAGGAAGATCCCGTACAGATGTCCATGATCATCTATAATTGTCTGAAGGAAGAGAGAAAGATTCTGGAAAATGCCCAAAGATATAATCAGGTACTTTTTTCTAAGCGGGTACTAATGGTTGGATTAGAAACATGTTGTGTATTTCACAGATATTACTACCATGGGCTCTCCTAAGTCACTGATGCATACACGTCCGCCTTTATAACTTCAAGAAGCAGAGATGGTCATATCCAGGACTTTTCTAGAACTATGCTTTAAGAGGTGTCATTGTGTAGTGGAGGTGGTACCCAGTGAAACACACAGCACATAGTGAGGTGCTTGCAGGTAGCGGTGAAGATAGCATGATGCGTTGTGACATGGCTTGGGCAGAGCCTGTGTCTTCAGGTCAGGTCAGGAGTGGAAGCAGGCAGAAGCATTGGGTTCTGGCAGCCTCGCCGGGGTGGCCATGGAAGGTATACTCAGAGTTTGTGAAGGCAGGGCATAGCAGGTTTGCGAGGAGAAGGAAAAATCAATAGGGAAATAAGCTTCGTTTTGAATGGGACAAAGACGCCAGTTAAATGTTCAGATGTCAAGCAGTGGATGAGTCAGAGTTGTAATATTACTGTGTTTGGGGTAATGGCTTTGCTAGATGCCGTGTAGGCCATCCCACCAACTGGGTCAGCGAGGGAGGCTTTGCAGTTATGGCGGTATTTTCAGTCTTTTCTCGAGAAGTGCTGTGGCATGAGAGCAAGGCAGGCAGGCAGGTAGCTGTGGAACCATTGTTGGATGAGTTCTAGCCAAACATCCCAGCCCTAGAAGGAGAATGCAGAGAACAGTGCATTTCACCCACAGATAACCAAGTGAACTGTGCCCCTGTGGGACTGGTGAAGGCCTCTCTCCTTGCTTTCACGAGTGTTTGTCACATTCCTGGAGAACCTGTTCTTTCCTTGGGCATTTAGTTACTATACCCTTATGTCAGTAAAAACACCTGATGTGCTAAGTATGTAAATGTTACTTGTCCTAAACTCAAGCTGGATGGTTCACTTAGTACCTACCCTAATGTATGTCAGCATTAGAGTGAAATCTGGCTTTGACTCCTAGCAGAGAACTCCTGCCTCCCAGCTAGCATGCGTGTAAGAAACCCACAGAGGAAGGTTTTATTTATGTGGGATTCTCATGCAAGCGGCAGCATGTAGTGGGTCTCTTTGTATGTCAGATTCACTGGCTTGGCAGAAGGACAAACTGCCCATCTTTGCACACCGGTACACCACACTTCACGTTTGACCTCTAGTTTAGAGAAGGCATTGCAGGCACCAGGGTCAATCTCTGCACTGCCATACCAGCCCCGCCCTCTAGCTAGTCACAAGGGCATGAAGGCTTGCCCACTTTTGAGCTCCTGTTAAAGTGCATAGGACTTGGGGAGAGGTTCATTTTGAGCCTCCCAGATGACACCTGAGGGTGGATGCTTTGGCAAGGCCTCTTCGGGTGTGAAGGAAAGTCCAGTGGGGTGGGGAGACTTTGGGGAAAGTGAAAAGCACAACAGGCATCGTAGCCATGGCGCTCTAGTCTAACATTTCTTTGCTGTCTCCCCCTTTCTTTTCATTGTTAAGTGTGTATGAGTAGGGTGACCAGTCTGGTATGCGTTTGAAAATAATGCAGTTTGGGAGACAGTGGAATCCGTGGGATGTGGATGAAATGTCCTTATAAGTGTGCATGGCTCCAGCAGCTTCAACAAGTCAAATGTGCAACGTTCAGAATTGTATAGATATATTGTTGTCCCTGTTGTTTTTCTTCTGTGTATCTGTGCCGGTGTGTATATGCCTATGCATGAGCACGTTGAGGCCAGAGGAGGACATGGTAAGTTTTTTGTTGTTGTTTTTTGTTTGTTTTAACCTTTCCTTGGGCTTGGCTGGCTGGCTGTGACTTCTCAGAATCTGCCCTGGGGTTCTAGGAATACTCTGACAGGCCCAGGCTTTACAGTGCTAGGTATCTGAACTCAGGTCCTCTTGCATTCACAGCAAGGGCTTTTACCCACTGAGCCATCTCCCCAGCCTGCCTCACCCTCCCATTGTTTTAGAAAATATTATTTTTAGAAAAACTATTTTACATTACATGCATGTAAATGTTTTATCTTCTGCCTTTGCTGCTTCTGTGGTCACAGTGTCCCTGGGTTGTTAAAAGCTTTAGTTGTCTTAGTGATATTACCATTAAATGAGTGCCAGTGTGGTCCCAAAGAAACAGTGGGGCTAGGGTAGAGGAGTGGAGGGAGGGCAAGAGGGAAATCCCAGAGTCACATGAATGGATTGAGGCAGGAGGGTCTTGGCTCCGCCTCAGTTGCCAGGCTTTTCCATTAAGCAAGACAGTTGTGAGGGAGTGTATCCCATTCTTAACATTTCTGTCCACACCCCAGGTCACCTGACTAGCCTTTGATAGCTTGAGAGTGGACCAGGAAGTCAGGATCCTTCAGTGACTTCTCCCTCCATATGCTTTAGCGGAGTACATACAGCATGGCACCCACATCTGGGGCTTTGTTGAAGGAGATCGAAGCGTATCTCCTCGGGTGGACAGGAGCTTCCTTAGGCAGCTACTCAAGGAAGTGGCTCGTTCAGAATGGAAAGAAGCTCCGTTTATCAGTGTTGCGATGTGACACATGGGACTGAGGACACCAGTCCTTTCCACATACTTCTGATACTGCCAGCAGTCAGATGTTTCAAACTTCTGCTGCGGTGCTTGGTAAAAATAGGGCAGGAAATGGTTACAGACCAGATTTGCTTATGGATGTCGGTGTAATATCTACATGAAAACCCTAAGTAAAAGGGCATGGAACAGAATTAAGTACTGTACTCTAAAAATGACCAAGTAGGATTTATAAGAGCTTACAAAGGTAGACTCTGTTTGGGAAATCTATTAGTATAATTCCCCGACTTACTAGATATGAAGAAAAAAAGGCCTTTGCTTTGCCAAAAAGATTCCAGAAGGTACTGATAAAGTTCTGATCCCATTCTTGATAAAATACCTTATAAATAAGAACTGATGGATTTGTCATTGATACGCATGCCACCGTGTTTTAGGGACATTTCTCTAAAAATTTACAGTATGTCAGAAACACATGGTAAGGGTGGCTGCAGTTTCCACTGTGATCTAGTACCACATGTGTGGTATTGGCCAATACAGTTATGAAGAAGAAGACAATAATTAAAGTGGATGTGGTGGTGTGCAACCTGTGGTTCCATAATTGGGAGAGAGGTCAGAGGGTCAGGAGCACCACACGGAATGTTAAAGGCCAGCCTTGTCTGTGTGAAACTATTCTAAAAATTGCAAAATCAGAACGAAACAAACAAACAAACAAACAAAAAAGCTTAAGAATCAAGAACATTAAATATGAGCTTTCCCTGAGTTAACTAGTAATTTTAATGTGATCCCAGTGAAATTGTAATCTATTTTCTAAAGATGATTCTGAAATCCATGTGAAAAATGAATGAAAAAATAATGGCAAGGAATGGTTGGGAAACCAAGATAGTGAATGGGATAGCCCTGGCAGCATTGCCTGAGAAACCAAGATAGTAACACCCTGGAAGCATACTATAAACCATCCATAATGAAACATGGCTCAGAGGGTCCAGCTTAAGAGTGGGTAATGAGAAGGAACAGGAAAACTGAGAAATAAACTCTGATAGAAATTTGTGTTATTAAGACTTGATGTCCTTGAAGGACTGGGAAATTGCAGACCTCCTACTAGATGTAGTGAAGGTGACCATATGATCACATTAAATGTAAGAATAAACATCCAGTGTGGTGTGGTGGTGTATACCTATAATCTCAGGACTTGAGGGGGTTAGATGGCTCAGGAGTTCAAGGTCATGCTCAGTTACCATTCAAGGCTTCTCTGTTTACAAAAGACTGTCTCAGGACAAAAGAATACATTCCAAATGTTTTATAGATCTTAGGTTTTAAAAGGGCAGCTCTGGGGTGCTGCTTCACCATAGCGTAATTGTTCCATTGGTTACTGTATAGCCCAGAAAGCCAGTGGTGCTAAACTGTACATGAAGCTCAATGGTTTACCAGGAAGAAGTAATTCATATGCTTGCTCTGACTAAAGCACTACACAATGGTTGATAAACTCAAGTGTCAAGTCAGCATCACTATGTGCAATTTTTATGTTGTTTTCTGTTAGTTTAAAAAAGATAAAATGTAAGATATCTTAAGAGGTAATAAATGAAGAACCAGAATCACAAGGGGGAAATATGTTGGCTTACGTCTTTCAACAGGGCCAGCTTTCCTAATGTGAGATAAAGTCTAGGTACAGTTGTGAAGGACATGGCAAGCACGGCTGATGGTCATGGCTTTTGTTAGGATCTCCATGAATGTGGGCACTATTTTACTACTCACAGCTAGGTCCAGAACACTGTCTGGCATTTACCTAGCATAACTATGCTAGGTGAACAACCAGGTTTACCCAAGGTGATGAACAGGTGTGCTGATTTCTGAATCTTCTGTCAGGGTTGGTGACTCCCTTGAGATCCCAGGTCTGTATTTCCTGTAGGTTTTTTACTGAGCAGCAGCTCCATTAGTCCTGAATGGCAGCAGTACCTTTTAATTTTGGTGTACCCCTGAATCGCTAGGATGGAGATTTAGCCGCCAGATGAGGACCTGAGTATGCATTTCCAGAAAGCTGTCAGAAGAAGGTGTTGCTGTTGTAGAGAGATATTGATTCACAAGATCGATCGTGGGGTGCTAGTTATGGGCCATGTGCATACCCTGTGTGCAGATTGTGACAAGTCTGAAGTAATACCTGCATGCTCCATCAAACTACATGCATTAATGGCAACTGCACAAGCCCTTGACGTGGATGTGCTTACACTTCTGTAGCTTTAGTAGTTTATCAGCATCTTTCAGGGCCTTGGGAAAGGAGGGGGTTTGTTGTTGTTTGGATTCCCATATGGGAAATCTGTAGTAAGATTTGCGATGTCTTAGAGGTAGGTAGGCTACAAGTACGGATTTGGTTTTGGAATATAACCAAGTGAGTAAATACAGCAGAGAAAATGATGGCTATTAACAATGCATTTCCCATTCAAGACGCAGGAGGGGAATATTCAGAACACTGTGATGTTAGATAAACAGAAGGAACTGGACGGCAAAGTCAGAAACGTGAAGGACCAAGTCATGGTGAGTACTGCACGAATTCACTAATCTCTCAATACCTTTTGACGGGAAACACTTCGGTTTCTCCAAGTGTAAACCTGCTGTAATAACTAATCTAAGTTGAAAAAAGTGGTTCTAAACAGAAGTAAGTAGATCGGGCAGCTCCAAGCCTATGGCCTCTGTTCTGTCTTCTAAACCCTGAGCTTCTTTTTCTTCTTTGTGGTTCATGCAGTCAAGGTTGACTTTGTCCTCATTGTCCAACAGACTAAGTGTTGCACTCACTGGCCCTTTGTATCCACATTTCTCACAGGGTGTCCCTGGAGTTACGGGGCCTCCCGGGTAAATGTGACCTGTCTTCTAGAGCAGTTTACTCTAGGACTTGGAAGATGAACAGAACCATTTCATTCAAATACATCTCAATACACTGGATGAGAATGAGAGGCCTACAGCAACTTTTAAGATGAGGCCCCAAGACAGTTGATGGAAGAAAATGACCAAGGGGACCCCTGTCTACCCCAGCTGTAAGGTTCAGTAGTGCCATAGGTCAGGGTTACAGGAGCAGAGCCTAGATTCGGGCTTTAGGCAGCATCCTGCTGAACCCCAGATTCTTGCAGCAGCTTTATTCTGTGGTCTGTTAGGGAGTTGCTCCACTGAAGTAGAAATAGAAGACCTTAATGAGAAAATAACTAGGGAAATCCAGAGGGGGAAGATGTAGAAATATGGCCAGATCTCAAAAACTCAAGGCTCGTCTGTAGGGTGAACATACAATTTCTTGCTCAAGCTGAGCTGTGTCAGAGTAGGAGGACCCTGATAATCAAACCAGGACTGCTGCACGCACCTAATCACGACTGCAAGCATACAGAGAAATCAAAATTTAGACCCTGAACCAGGTGATGTAAGTTTGAAATTTTTACATTTATTTTTTTTGTTTTGAGAAATGTTCTTCTTAAAATTATAAATCTCTCTTAATATTAAAATACAAGGGACTGGAGAGCTGGCTCAGCAGGATTAATTACTACAACACTTAGAAATTAATTTTATTTCTGCTTTAGGCTAACTTGTTGTAGGACACTGGGGAAGTATAGAAATACAGCCAAGACCAGCAGCATTCTTTTTGAGGACTTAACACAACTAAAGAAAGGTGCCGAGCAGCTTTCTGGTGGTGAAAGAGTGAGGTGGCTGGTTCTTACTGGAGGTTGCCCTGAAAAGGTGTCCTTACACCCACTGAGTGAAGGGGTGCCCTGGCTCACATCACAGGGCTGCAGTTTCAGAGTTACCCACCGCAATTAATGTTTCTTGGCGTAGAAGCCAAAGGGTATATTTCATAAGAAGCTTCATAATAGTTTGCTTCTTGTGAAAGCTGACACGCCTGCAAGCATTCATATCTCAGAAGAGGAACTCACTCTGAGCATCAGCTTCTTCCCAGGCAGTTCAAATAGAAGTTCAAAAGTTTGGAATTAGATGACCCACTGTTTGCCAAAATCCATAAAGTATTCCCAACAGATGGATCAAGATTAACTCCCCAAGCATTCCTGACAGCATGAAACATATTTTTTTTCTTTCCTTTGGAAGACTGTGTGAGGGTTGACAGCGCTCAGATGAATATAGAACACATTTCATTCATGACATCTCATTCCGGGGTCTGAATACAGTGCTGGGGAGTAATTGTTTTCCCATCTGGGTACTTGGGGTATAGAGGCAATCTAGAATCAAGGTAGCTACAAAACACATGGATGGTGATAGCAGAATTGGTGGGTTGGTCTGTACCCGCTTGTGTCCTTTGAAGTCTCCACTCCTGTTCTGTCTGAATGAACTCATATAGCTTTCCTGAGAAAGTTCTTGGACTCTTTGAAACAAGTATTCCTGATTTGGTGTTGGGTCTAAATACTGCACAATTGTATTTTTAGTCAGGAGGAGCTTGAGCAGGGCAGCTTGTTATAATATGCTCTAATCAACTTTCCAGGCATCTCAGTGTGTATCATTCCAGACATAGCTAAAGTCCCATGCTAGAGCCACATTTCCTGGATTTTGTTTCCTTTCTTGTCTGATGGTTCTGTCAGTATGAGATGCATCAGGCATGATGTTCAGCTGGAAGCCACAGGCTTGTTTCACCCTCTGAAAAATGTTGTTACATTCTTATTATAGAAATATTTTGTATAGAAGATTAGAGTTCTGTAAGGCTGGTTCATCTTTCAGGATGTTAGAAAACTTATATCTCTATTTGCAGTGCATAGAACATGAAATCAAGACGCTAGAAGATTTACAAGACGAATATGACTTTAAGTGCAAAACCTCGCAGAACAGAGGTAAGAATTAAGACACTATCAGTTGGCTGCATTTCTCCCCTGTCTATAGCAGTGACATTTGCCAGATGTTTTCCGATAGGTTGACTGCCATGGGCTCCTTGATGACTCGAGCCAGTATGTTTTAAGAGCTCAGTTCTGCTGACAGTTTAGGCCAGATGTTTGTCTTTGCAGCACTGTCTCATGCCTTGTAGTGTGTTTAACAGCATCTGTGATTCAATCACCAGATGCTCATAGTGCTACCCACCAACCCCCAGTAGTGACAATCAAAATTGCTCCCAGCCATTGTCAGATGTTTTAAGGGAGGAGGACAAAATACTTGTTGGCAAAGGTAGAATGTACACAAATGGAGTTTTTGTATCCCAACACCCATAGACACTGCCATAGCACAGCATTTCTCAAATGTGACAGCAGCATCACCTGTGTTATTGTTACCGCTTTTTAAAAGATGATGATAGAAACTTAAATGGCCCCAGAAGGCCAGTCTGCAGAACACAAGAGCACAATACCCTCGTGATCGTCTGGTCACGAGGGAGAGATTATTAGTGTAGCTGTGAGAAGATGTGTGGGGAAAAGGAACCTGAGCTGCTTGCCCACTTCTCCCTCAAGGCCACACTCATGCTTTGTATTCACTTATGTGAAGTTTTGCACTTCTTTATAATCATTTAAGCAAACTTTGGACCACGACATGAATAGTAGATTTCCAATTTTACATGGAAATTTACAATTTTCCAGTTCACATGAGTTGCTGATACATGGTACTTGGTTAAGTGTGAATGCATTTAACTGTTTTTATACTTAGGCTATTTTTTCCTCATTTTTTTTTCCAGCAATTGTTGTCTTGTATCTTTCCCTGATGCTGGGAGAAAATACTCTAACAAGAGCAGCTTACAGGAGAAGGCCTTTGTTTTAGCTTACAATTCAAGTGCAGTTCTTTACGGTGGGGTAGTCAGTCAGCTTGGAGCAGCTGTCACATTGCATCTACAGGCAGGCAGCAGAGAGAGACAAAAGCATGCTGTAATTAAGTCCCCTGTCTCCATTGTACAGTCCAGGGTCCCTGTCCAGGGACGAGTCTGTCCACAGTCCAGGTGGGTTTTCAGTCACTGTAAACACTAATTCCTCACAGGCATGCAGATTCTGTCAAGTTTAGAATTAACACCAAACAAGAGTCAGACTTTGCATGTTGCCTTGTTTTGCCTAAGTTTGTATGAATCCTGGATTTAGTTGGATTTATCTTCTTGCACGTTTATGCTCCTGTACCTTCATTCACAGAAAGTGAAGCCAATGGTGTGGCAAAGAATGACCAGAAACAAGAACAGCTACTGCTCCACAAGATGTTTCTAATGCTTGACAATAAGAGAAAGGTAGCAACTGCTTCCCACCTTGAAAGAGAAAAGAACTTTCATTCTTCAGTTGCATTGTATGTAGTTTGTGGGGAGGGAGACCAGAGGACGGCTTTCAGGAGTCACTACTGTCCTCCCACTCTGTGAGCCCTGGGAATCAAGCATGGGCTTGGCAAGCACGTTTCCCTGCTGAGCAGACCCATCACCAGCCTAGAAAAATGATATCTAAGACCACTTTGCTTAGAATTGTAGATGTGCTTTGCTCAAAAACAAAACAAAACAAAAAAACCAAACAAACAAACCAAAAACAAAACAAAACCTTTGAAAGTTAAGTAGTTACAAATGCACTTATTTCCCCTTGGTTCTTCCTTTTCCTCCAGGAGATAATCCACAAAATAAGAGAGTTGTTGAATGCCATTGAGCTCACACAGAACAACCTGATTAACGATGAGCTGGTGGATTGGAAGCGAAGACAGCAGAGTGCCTGCATCGGGGGACCACCCAACGCTTGCCTTGACCAGCTGCAGAGCTGGTAAGATTTTCCTGCAGCGGAGTATTGCAGCTAGTAGTTGAACAGACCCTGTCAACACTGCACTGGAGATTTTATGTAGCTCAGCTTCTTGCCCTAGAACATTTGGGAAAGGCTGTTGCCACATGTTCAGTCACATCTGCTTAGTTTGGACGTTCATCATCTGACTGTACCAAGACCCAAATGACGTAGTTGTTGCCTACCCCATTTTCCAACTTGAGACCTGAATCTTATTAAAAGTGAAATATCTTAAGGGCTTTTCCAGGCTTAAATGAAATAATAGTTTCTTATGGGCCATCCTTTTGGTCATCCATCTGCTAAATAGTGTTGACTGGATGGTAAACACTTTTCTGAGATTGGACACCCAAGGAAGATTGATGTTTGGGGCTTTCTTCTTAGAGCTTTGCACTGTCTGAGAGTGAATGGGTACTTTAGGAAAATGGAGAGGAATTTTTTCCAGCAAGAGGCTCATGTGATGGAGGCACAGAAGTCTCCATGGCTCCATGGCTGGAGAGGAGCACAGATGGGCCATGGCAGTAAGAGTTGCTACTGCCGACTCTGGAAGATCTCACCCTGTCTTGAACTGACTTTGCCCTGTTGGCCTTGAAATAAAACAGGCTTCTCCCTTAGGGTCTGCATGTTCTCTCATTTGTTGTTTAGAAAGATCACCCTGGCAGCAGGCTGGAAGACAGAATAGAGACAGAAGTCAGTCAGTCAGTTTACTGCTAGTCTGTAATCGTGGTCCAAGGGATGGCCTTGAGAACTGCTGAGGATGGAGCAGAGGGATCCTGGAATGGAAGTAAGGGGATGGAGGTCTAAGATGGAGGTCTAAGTCACCAGGCACCCCAAGGCCAGAGGTCTAGTGGGGTTATTGTCTTGAGATTGAACTATTTTTTAAGTTAACATGCAGCCATTTATCTTCATCTGTAAATTGTCTGTATATATCCCAAATTGCTTATGGGTAGAGAAGAGTTCCCCCCGCCCTGCTTGGCCCTTGTACCTTGAGGGTACTGCTCCCTAGGCCCTCAGCTGGTGAGCCCTAGGCTCTCTGGAACATAGTGGCTGCCATATGTCCCAAAGCCTCTTTTGGTGGCCCTGACTCTCAGTATGTATATTGCCACTTTCTTTGTGAGTCACCATTGGAAGGGGTCTTCTGAGAGACTCTGGGCAGACTCTCCTCAGCAAGGCACCCAGCCACCATCATACTCTCTCATGTCATGGTGAGGAGCCCCCTGATGATGTGTAAAGCCACCAGGAGAAGTAGGTATTTTCAGTGTTTTTCAAAGATTTTCTGCCCTGGTCCTCTGAATAACGTAGCACTCTAGCATGCCTGGCTAGAAGCTGTGATGTTAGCACTTGACCATCAGGAAGGAAGAGAGCAGTCACTAGCTTCCTCCTTACTCAGGTTTGTGGGTGCAGCCTGTGTCACTTCTCCTTTCTTCCCTCTCTGCCTCTAGGCTCTCCCAACCCCAGCCCTTCATAGTGTCCCTAGGCGACCTTGTCGTGTCTGCCTCCCTTAAAGCACGTCAGTGGCTCCTCAGTGCCTTGTGTCACCTGCAGGCATCTGCTTTGCTGGTCCCCTTTCTATCCTTCATGCTCTATCTTTTTGAAATCTTAGATCCTTGGAAGTCAGAGATCACCTGGAGCCCTGCCTTGCCCTGGAAGACTTGCTTTGCATGACTGTCCTAGGGTTTTTATTGCTGTGATTTTTTTTTTTTAATGACTAAAAGCAACTTGAGGAGGAAAGGGTTTATTTCAGCTTACAACTCTCAGCTCACACTCCATCATTGAGGGGAGTCAGGGCAGGAACCCAAAGCAGGAACCTGGACTCAGGAAGCCATATAGGGGTGCTGCTTGCTGGATTGTTCCCCTTGGCTTGTCAGCCTGCTTGTCATTCACCCCAGGATAACCTGCCCAGGGTTGATACCATCCACAGTGGGCTGGGTCCTCTCACATCAGTCACTAATTGAGAAAAATGCCCACCAGCTTCCCTAGGGCAGTCCGATGGAGGCTTTTTTCAATTGAGGTTCCTTTTCCAAGAAAACTATAGCTTGTGTCAAGTTCACAAAACATCCAGGACAGAGGCTCTCAGAACCATGTTGTAATTCTTCAGTGCATGCTAGTCTTTACAAGTAGCTGTGCTCAATGTTACCACAGGCCTCCATCTCGCATGGCTCCCTGAGTGTGAGGTATAGTACCACATGCCGATTCTGTGATTTCCTTTAAGCCAGGCTGCTTTGGGACTGTGGCTCACTGAGACTCATGCCTTGTACCTTCCCAGGTTCACCATTGTTGCAGAGAGTCTGCAGCAGGCCCGTCAGCAGCTTAAAAAGCTGGAGGAGTTGGAGCAGAAATTCACCTACGAACCGGACCCTATTACAAAAAACAAGCAGGTGCTGTCAGATCGCACCTTTGTACTCTTCCAGCAGCTCATTCAGAGGTAAGCCCAGGAGGGCTGGCTTTGTCCAGAACACCTGTGGCCATTCAGTTTGGAAGGGTTTGATGGGCTGTGCAACTTTTTAATGGCACTTGATTCTACCTGAATGCATGGCTTGTGCCAATACCTCTTCCTTCTTTTGGCTTCCTAGAGGAAATGTAGTAATTTTTACTCCTTCTGCCCCTCAAGCTAGTCTATGTCTAGCCCAGCAAGTCTGACCCCAGAATCCTGTCTTCTTCTCCCTGTACTGTGGCCTCACAGTATGCCAGGCTCTCATATCCAGTTTTGATCTCCCGCAGCAGCCTGCCAACCAGCCCTTCACAGTCTCCCCATCAAGGCTCTGAGACCCACAGCAGGCTTTTGGTCTGGTCCTTTCATTACCTGCTAGCCACATGGATCTCTCAGGCTACACCTTCATTCATGGCCGCTTTCCCCAGTGACCTGGAGGCTGCTCTACACTTAGAGCAGACAGTACTTTTCTTTTTTGTTTTTTCTTTCTTTCTTTCTTTTTTTTTTTTTTCAGACAGTACTTTTCTTACCCAGTTTGTCAGATTCTCAAAATAATTTTCAGGGCTCCAGTGTTTTCAGTCCTTCAATTTTTCCATCTATTTCCTCTTTGGGAAAAGTCAATTTTTTTATACTGCGTTAACTTGTATTGAAATGCTATTTATCTATACTTTGCTGAATGTTGACAGCTCATTTGTGGTGGAACGGCAGCCGTGTATGCCAACTCATCCTCAGAGGCCACTGGTTTTGAAGACTGGGGTACAGTTCACTGTGAAATTGAGGTAATGAAGACATAATCCCATATGCTGCCGGTCCCAGAATTTGTGTCTTTAATTCCGCTACCCCCCTTAAACCCTGACTTGCTTTAGATTATTTAGATTATAAACTCCTGCCTCAGCTTTCTAAGTGGTGGAATAATAGGTGCGTGCACCACCACATCTAGCCCTTTCATTTTCTTTTATAAAATGGTTATATAAAGCACTCTAGAGAATAGTTTTTTAGTAGGCATTTTAATATGAATTCTTACTTTAAAGAGCCAAGGATTATACTCAAAATAGAACTATAACTAGTGTAGCTGCATATATGTGCATGTGCCTATTTTTTTTTAATTGTAAGAGGGATTTGGAATTTCGAAATGTGTATAACAGGCAAAGTTCCCAGCAGCCTCCCCCGTGATGAACATAGGCTCATAATGGAGCTTTATGACTCCGAGATGGACACTGAAATAGTGTGTGTGAGTGTAGATTATGGTATGTACAGTTAGTTTCCTGTGAGTGAATGTATATCCTTCACCAGGCTGAACCAGTGGTCTGTGATCTAAATATCTGTGGACATATGTAATAAACATTCTATGCTTATTCTGCTATAATTTTGTCCATAAATATAAAAACACATGTGTGCACGTTTCACACGCAGACATATGTATGCAAATATATGGCACACAGCATTTCAGTTGTTAAAACTAGGATTACATTTGTATGTCACCTGCTTTTCTCCTTGCTGCGGTTGTTGAGATGCTCTGTATGTGCTTTGGTGTATTCTAGGGAGTGGCTGCATTCAACACGAATTGCTCTGGGGAGGAGCAGCTAGACCCCGCAGAGCTGGCTTGTCTGCTGCAGGGTGCTGCTGTGTGTACATAGGAGCTATTTCTCTGGCAGGCAGTGTCTCAGCAGGCCACATAAGCACAGTGAAACCTAGAACTCACAACTGATAGGAAAGGAAATTCCCTATCACCTGCACCTCATCAGAGGCTGCAAGCTCCCCCACTCCCATAGTCTCTAGCTATCAGAGCAGAGACTCACGGAGTCTCTGTCTACTCTCCTGTTCTACATCACCAGTGTTTGGGTGCCACCCTGCTCTTTTCTGGTTATGGGTGATAGTTGTAATTTACTTTCTTGGTGGTGCTTTATATTTTCTCCCAGTAGCACAGGAAATTAAACACAAGTTTTATAAAGAGTGATGTTTACTTTTTTCCCTATATAGTATTGATCAAAAGTGGGCCCTGGGGTTAGAGCTGTGTTGCTGGGTTACATACGAAAGCACGGCTTTCACTAACGTTTGTTGGAAGGTAAAGTCAGGGCTGTGTTCCGCTAGAGATTAGGGTTAGAATTTGTCCCAGCATCCTCAGCTAGGAATTGGTTCTACAGACCCACGTAAGAAGACGAGCCAATTAGATATACAAACTTGTCAGTTCATTGTGATAACCCTAATCCAAAAGTGAAGAGAGTGTTTATATAAATGCTTACAGTTGGGGAATTTGCATAATAAATAAATTTTAGCCAATATTTTTTTAAGGTAATGACTGTTATTTTTCTTTCCAGATTGCTGGTGAAATTACAAGAGCTGAATTATAATTTGAAAGTGAAAGTCTCATTTGATAAGTAAGATTTCTTTATCTCATCTAAGATACTATTTTAAATATAGGAGGCTTTGTTAACCTACCTACCAAATAAGCAGATTAGAAATTCTTCCCAGGACCCATGACCCAGGACTGGACTGCATGCAGGTCCTGAGACTGGACAGTGAGGAGAGGCTCCTCGTGAGCTACCCCAGGGCCATTCGTCACAGGCCTTCCTAGCACACTTAAATCACTGGCTCCTTTTCTGAGGGCCAAGAGCTTGTGTAGAGCAGGTACTGTCCTGGCTAGAATAAACAAAAGCACAGAGGAGAGGACATTGCCGTCCTCAGGTCTAAAGCAGTTGGACTTTGCACATTGCACCTGTTAGGAGAGCTCTAGAGAGGAGGCCCTTAGTGCAGCACACACCCAAAGAAAGATCCGGGCTGTGGTCTGCACAGTTGGGTTGGGAGGTTGTTTCTGGAGTGACGTGAGAGACATCAGGACTGGGGTGAGGTGGTGCTATGTAGCCTGCTGTATTCACTTGTGTCTCCTCGGGCAGTGGTGGGAACCTAGCAATGGACAGGATCTTTTATGGCAGTCCAAGTGAAGGAGCCTCATCCTGCTTACGCTCAGTTCCTACATCTCAGTTAGCACTGACCCAGCCACACCACTTACACTTAAGAAACATTCTCCCCACCCCAGACACCTACTGCTTTTGTTAGACTGTGTTATGTGCTGATTTACCTTGTTTCAGAATGACTTGTGATGAGTCAAATCAGCTTTCTCTGGCTTTCTGTTTCTTCCCAACACTTTAAGAGCATTCTTCACTGTGCTCTGTGTCTTTCCTTTCCCTGTGGTTATCCTTAGTTTTTCCTGAGTATCAGTCAGTTTTTGCCGTGTAGCAAATCATCCCCCAAATTCAGTGGCTTCAAACCTCAAAGCTTATTACTGCTCACATTGTATATGCTGTGAGTAGTCCTTTGGTATAGTTGGATTGGGACTGGCTGCCCGTGCATGGCCTCCCTACCTATCTGGGGTCTCAGCGAGTGGGACTGACTGTTCTGTTATGGCCTCGTTCCTGTCTGGGTCTCAGCTGGGACTACTGGGTTCATCTTCATGGACCTAACCTTTCTACAAATGGCAAGCATCAAGACCTGTAGAGGTTCACTTGGGAATGTACACAGTACCACTGCCTTCCCTTGTGCTGCTGGAAGCTAGTCTAGGCCCTCTGAGGTGCTGGGGTACTTCCTGTGCCACACACTCTGCTGAGGCTCAGTTCTCTTCCTTGTGTGCCCCTTGTCTTTTCTGTGTAACCCAGTTGTGCTTTTCTTCTGAGACTTCACACGGCAGCTTTGTAGCACAAAGCTTTTTCTGTGCAGAGGAGGAAATAGGTTACTTTTGTAGAACTTTTTATTCCTAAAAACACTGACCTCCTAGTTGAGGTAGAAAGAGTAGTGAACTTTTGGGAGTGAACTGTACATATATATAGTACTTTATACATGCTGTTTGGTGAGAACATGACTATCATAGTCCACTTTGTGTTGCTGTAACAAAATACTTAACTTGGGTATTTTATAAAGAAATGAGGTTTATTTATCTCACATTTCTGGAGTTTAGGAGACTCAAGATCTCATGGCAGGAAACTGACAAGGGCCTTGTGGATGACATCTCATGGCAGAATTGCCTGTGACAATCACATAGAAGAAGCAAGTTGAGAAAGCCACTGTCCTTACAAAGACCACTCCTGTCCTACAATGCAAACTGTGGTTCCCTGGGGCCTGGTGACCTGACCCCCTTTCTTCAGGACCTAGCACTATCACTCAGCTTGGTCCCCGCAGTGAGGACCAAGCCTTCAGAAATGGTCTCTGTAGCAGGGCAGAGCGTGACAGGAATCACTGGATTTATATTTATGTGAACTCTTCCGCGGTTCTGACTTCAGGTTTTAGTGAGGCCCTGAGCTTAGTTGCCAGTATTGAAAGAGAAGAGGGAAAAAATTTAATCTCGAGCTTAAAACCTAAACTGTCCCGTTTACCCAGGTGGTTGAGTATCTTGGTATTTTTTCCAGATCTTCCAAAACAACAGAGAATAGTAAGATAGAGATTGGTCTCTTTGGAATGCCCTCTCGACTGCTGAGGCAGCAGAGCGTTGCTGTGTGTGGATCGCTGGCGCCACAGAGAGAGTCTGTGACGTGCAGAGGGAGTTTGAGATGTGCAGTAGTTTATTGAGTTCCTCACACCTGTTAACAGTTCTCTCCCCTCAATGTGCAGTGGTTTAGGACTGATAGCAGGCTGTGCGAGAGAGGAGTGCAAAACAGTGCCTGCGATCATTCGGCCTTACTTGGCCTCACTGGTGCAAGGGGGAAGGGAATGAGCGAACAAAAGGCCAGGAGACCTGCAGGCATAGAACAGTTGTTGTTCTGTGTGTCTTATATTCTTTCAAGACCAGTTGTGCTTTAATAGCGCAGGCTGGCCTGGAACCCATGGCCTTCCTGCCTCCAGCTTCTGCATGCCACCACCCCTGCTCATACGTGTGTTTCTTTCTTCTTCACTCCTTTTCCTCTCTTTCCCCTCCCTTCTCTTCCTTTCCCCTCCCCTCCCATTCCTGTTTTAGAGGAAGAAGACACACTGCGTAAGCTGTAAGAGGGCAGTGGGCTGGGAAGTAACTACAGTTCTGCTTGCAGCAGCCTGTGCATTGACTTTTTATCTTGTATTTATACATCTGTGTAACCATGTGCATCTGTTTTGTATCTATTGAAACTTATTTCAAATTTACTTGTTTCTGTTTTGTTTTGTTTTGTTTTTTTTTTTTTTTACAGAGATGTGAACGAGAAAAACACAGTGAAGGGGTAGGTGAGACATCTTCTTTGTACCTTGCTGGCTTGTCTAGTAGTTTGAAGCATTTTGAGGACCTGTGTCTTGCATTGTATAGATTCCGGAAGTTCAACATTTTGGGCACGCACACAAAAGTGATGAACATGGAAGAGTCCACCAACGGAAGCCTGGCGGCCGAGTTCCGACACCTGGTAGGCGGGGCACTTTGCCGTCTTACAGCTGCCTCTGGTCCTTTGGAACTCTTGTAGTGCGGTGGACCCTATACGTTCCCTGCTGTCGCACCCTGGTCCCTTGTCCATATCCCACATCTCCTCGCTGTGTTTCTGACAGGCTCTCTCCCAGAAACACTCTTGGGGCTGATCTCAGTAAAGTACTTCATAAACTGGCATACATATTAATTATATAAACAATTGCCATCTCTGTCTGAGGGCCATTGCCATGGCTCCTGCAGTGTTCTCCGGGAAACCATCCCCATGTTCCTCTACACCTCTCCCATCTTCCCAGTGTGTAGCAGCCAGTCCCCTGGTGGAGAGAAGCAGTACTTCCCTTCTGCCTCTGTGAACCCAGTGCTGGGCCTGAGCCACAGACCTCTTCACTAGGGAGCTACAGATGAGGCAAGAGCCTGTCCAGCTTGGGCATCCGAGGGTGTCTAAAATAGCCCTTTAAACCTCAAGGATTGAAGTGTGAACTAAGTCTGCCTGGGGCTCTGAGCCCAGCCTGGGAGACTGAGTGGGCCTGGGGCTCTGAGCCTAGCCTGGGAGACTGAGTGGGCCTGGGGCTCTGAGCCTAGCCTGGGAGACTGAGTGGGCCTGGGGCTCTGAGCCTAGCCTGGGAGACTCAGTCTCCTGGGGCTCTGAGCCTAGCCTGGGAGACTGAGTGGACCTGGGGCTCTGAGCCTAGCCTGGGAGACCCAGTCTCCTGGGGCTCTGAGCCTAGCCTGGGAGACTGAGTGGACCTGGGGCTCTGAGCCTAGCCTGGGAGACTGAGTGGACCTGGGGCTCTGAGCCTAGCCTGGGAGACTCAGTCTCCTGGGGCTCTGGGCCTAGCCTGGGAGACTGAGTGGGCCTGGGGCTCTGAGCCTAGCCTGGGAGACTGAGTGGGCCTGGGGCTCTGAGCCTAGCCTGGGAGACTGAGTGGACCTGGGGCTCTGAGCCTAGCCTGGGAGACTGAGTGGGCCTGGGGCTCTGAGCCTAGCCTGGGAGACTGAGTGGGCCTGGGGCTCTGAGCCTAGCCTGGGAGACTGAGTGGGCCTGGGGCTCTGAGCCTAGCCTGGGAGACTGAGTGGGCCTGGGGCTCTGAGCCTAGCCTGGGAGACTGAGTGGGTCTGGGGTGCCTAGCCCAGCCTGGCAGACTGCTGGAGCAGACAAAGCTTCCTTGTGATCTTGGGGCCATCAAAGAACTGCTGAAGGTGCTTGATGTACCATTGCACACAGATGGGCCTTGGGGCTGGGGCATCATCTGCATCAGCATGCCCACAACCTACCAGGCTGCTGGAAGAGTCACTTCCCTCTTGTTCTATGGAGATGAGCACGTCTTTCTGTCAAGTCCTGACTCATGACCGATTTGTGAATAAAGATATTGACTGTGATGATTAACTTGCCTTTTGTTTCTTCTTTTATAGCAACTGAAAGAACAGAAAAATGCTGGTAACAGAACTAATGAGGTAAGCATCTCTGGGTTGTGAGTGGGTCCTAACCAGACTGATGTGTTTGGAGGGGACACACCACACAGGTCCTCAGGGTGTCTGTGGGGATGGTGAAACGCAGTGCCTTTGTACTTTCTGGGTGGGAGGCAATTTAACCCACAGTCTCATTGGACCCACAAACACAGCCAACTGGATGGAGCATGATGGGCTTTTGTATTGTTCATATCTGGGTGAAGAAATGAGACCCAGAAGTTAGCATGTTTTAGCAAAGTATACACAGAAAAGCTGGAGTGAGAGACTGAACGTGACTATCTTAGTTATGTTTACTAACTATGATGAAACATATGTTTCATACATGATGAAACACCATGAACTAAAAACAAGCTGGGGAGGAAAGGGTTTATTTGGCTTACACTTCCACATTGTAGTCCATCACTGAAGGAAGCCAGGACAGGAACTCACAAAGGACAGAGCCACAGAGGAGTGCTGCTTGTTTCCCATGGCTTGCTCAGCCTGCTCTCTTCTAGAACCCAGGACCACCAGCTCAGGGGTGGCACCACCCACCATGGGCTGGGCCCTCCCCCATTATCATTAATTAAGAAAAGAAAATGCCCTACAACCAGACCTTATGTAGGTTTTTTTTTCTCTCTCTCTCAATTGAAGTTCCTTCCTCTTAAATGACTATAGCTTGTGTCAGGTTGACAGCAAATGAGCTGTCACGTGACTGCTACTGGAGACCTAGTGTTGCAGAGGGCTCCCTGCCACCGTCTCCTCCACAGTAGCATTGCCTTGTCACAGGTCCCCTTTCACAGCCCGAGCCTAGAATTTATGTTTGTGGTGACTGAGAAATGAGAGACAGTTGGGCGTAGTAACGCATGCTTTTAATCCCAGCATTTGGGAGGCAGAGGCAGGTGGATCTCTGTGAGTTGGCCAGCCTGGTCTGTGAAGGGAGATCCAGGATAGCCAGGGTTGTTAACACAAAGAAACCCTGCATCAAAAAAAAAACCACACACACACAGAAAGAAAAGGGAAAATGAGAGATGGATAGATGGCACAATGTGTCTGGCTTGGTTTGAAATTGTCTTTGGTGCACACATCATTTGCTGTCATTCCATGTCACGACCAGTAGAGGTCACTGAAGCCATGAGGCAAATGCTGGACTGTGCAGCATAGACACCTTTGTCGACTCCTAGGTCTAGCAGCTACCTCTGCAATTCCAACATGGTAATGATGGTTACAGGACAGATGTGTACAAAGGCACTTTGAAAACGATTCCTTCCTGCCATACCAATGCACCTATGACCGCCAAGCTTCCGTGGGTTAGGCAGTCCTTTCAGTGGAGGCTCTCACTTGGGAGACATGCACTCTGCCTTCGCCTCTACCGCCACGGGAGGTGTGCGGTCCACGTGAGCAGACGGATGGCTGGAGGGCAAACCCATTTGTAGCTGCCGCTTCCCCACTGCTGCTTCTTTCTCTAAATAGATCTGCCATAGTTACAAACGCCTTTGAAAGAGCACCAAGAAGCGGGGGATGTCAAAATGTGGGGTAGACTATTGCATTCTGGAGTACAGTTGATTTTAGGATCTCTGCAACCTGTTTGGGTTTTGAGAGTTGCAGGATCAGTGATCAGTGTGTTTTCTTTTCCTTTTCCAAGGGGCCTCTCATTGTCACCGAAGAACTTCACTCCCTTAGCTTTGAGACCCAGCTGTGCCAGCCAGGCTTGGTAATTGACCTTGAGGTAAGATTTACAGCTTCCCAAGGGAGAATGCATTTCATGTTTACTTCCACAAAGTTTTGTTTCTCAGTTTTTCTTTCAGAGTTACTTACCTAATTGTTAAAAAAAAAAAAAAAAAAGATGATCCCTTAAAAGATTTTTTTTTTATTATTTTAAAAATTCTATGTGTTTTATGGATAAAACATCAATAGATTATGTATGTATATATGTATACCACATGTATGTCTGGTGCTTGCAGAGCCCAGAAAAGGGTATCAGATTCCCCTGGGACCCAAACTATAGACAGTTGTGAGCCACCATGTGGGGGTGGGAATCAAACCTGGGTCCTCCGAAAGAGCAACCAGTGCCCTTGACTGCTGAGCCACTGCTCACTCCCAAGGTGATCTTTTCCAGCTAATACTAGGTTGACATTAGTGATCCAGGAAAGTAGAGACTTAAATTAACCTTAAAGCTTTATAAAGGGAATGTTCTGATTGAGATAGCCAGTGTTACAACTGTGGTTCAGACAGCCTCATGGTCTCTGTTCACTTTCAGACCACCTCCCTGCCTGTCGTGGTGATCTCCAATGTCAGCCAGCTCCCCAGTGGTTGGGCTTCTATTCTGTGGTACAACATGCTGGTGACAGAACCCAGGGTATGGAAAATGCTTTTGCTTTCTTGCAGTTATCCAGGACTGACACTGCTGGCTGCTTCCGATGACCCTGAGGCGTCACTAAGGAGCTAGAGTGACTGGGGAAGGAAGTAGCCAGGCATGCATGCAGACCAGTGGTTTTCCTCCCATGTGGGCAGCCCACGATTTTATATTTCTCTGGTGTAAAGTGAATCCCTTGGTGCTGCTCGTTTTTAAAATGTATGCATCTGTTAAGTGAGCATGAATGGAGAGCGACTGGTTAGTTGACTCTCATTAGATGAAATACTCCTGTTCTCAAAAGGAGCCAGAATTCCCGTTATACACAGAATCATTGCTTACAGGGCAAATGCAGAGTTCAGCTTCTGTCTGCCTCTGGTCACAGTGTTTCTGTCAGCCCATCTGTATATAACTTCGTGTCTTTCTTTTTAAAGGCACCTGATCTAATGCATTTGTCCACTAGTTAACACTGACTATAAACCGTGCCTGCATGAAGCTTATCTAACACACATTCTTTCTATATGGACCCCTGACTTGCTTGTGCTTAGGCACATCATACCATACACCATTAGCACAGTACTTGGCACCATTTTAAACAATAAAGTCACCAACAAAAAAAAAATCACAAAAATTTAAAAATCAGAGAGGCCAAAATAATTGTGAGCTGCAGTAAATAAAAAGCCAGAACGTTGCTTTGTCCCATCTTGCTTGGGAACACCAGTGTGTGACCACAAAGTTGCCTCAAGTATTGATTTTGGAGTTACAAGTAAATGTTAGTGAGTAAATAGATTCTAATAATCCCGACTCTGGGACGCTCATCCCCAGCTATGACTGCCTGTGTGTCGCATAAGCTAGCGCTGAGCTCTGGGGCGGGCTGCTTCTGTGCTGCTAGTGGCTGGTGGCTTCCCGTGTGACCCCAGCCTCTGGGTGTTTCTTTCTAGAACCTGTCCTTCTTCCTGAACCCACCGTGTGCACGCTGGTCCCAGCTCTCCGAGGTCCTGAGCTGGCAGTTTTCATCAGTCACCAAGAGAGGTCTCAATGCAGACCAGCTGAGCATGCTGGGAGAGAAACTTCTGGGTATGGTGGACATGTTTACCATGTCAGCTTTCTCTTTTGATCTTTCTTCATTCTGTTTCTTAAAGGTAGGCGAATGTTAATGATTAGCTGGCTTTTTAATTACAGCCAGCTATAGCCAAGTGAGATTTAGTGCTTTGAAAATAAAAAGAAATGAAGTCCCAGTAAAGGAGGAAGTGAATCCCCTCCATGCCCTCCCCACCCCTTAACATTTTGAGATGGGATCTTAGGGGGAGTTTTTAGATTATAAAAATATGTTACATGAGCCTGAAATAAGTTATTGATGAGACAGATAAGAGCATACCTGTCCTCAGGGAGAGGAGGACAGTCCCTGACACAGAATAAAGTTCTAAGCTTAAAATTCCCAGAGTCTTGGATCAGGTGGACCCATATTGCAGGAGGCAGGCCCAGTTCTGGTGGTCCAGCTGAGTCTGGACTGTAGTAGGTAATTCTCTTTCAGTGGCTGATGTCAGAGGACTTACTCGTCTTCTACAGTGAAACAGCAAAGACTCACATCACTGACAGACCTTCCAGTGAGCAGGAGTATCTGAACCATATCTACATATTTCCATCGATACTGTTATCCAAATTTGCTGTCTGTGTAGCAAGGTGGCGTAGACTGCAGCCGAATTGGGCCCTTGTCAACCAGGTGGTCCTTAGGAGTGCCTTCTCTCAAATGTGCACGCTAACGAAGGCCTAAGATCTTGTTCTGTTTGATGAGATGCAAGGATTTTTTTTTTTTCCTGCTGGTTGCTTATCTGTGGGTTTCCTTAACTGAAGGCAGTATTCCTAACATAGCTCAGATCATGTACTGTTTTAATTTCTATGGCTAATTGTGATTTTGTTGGCATCAGTCTGAGCCAGTGTCCATTTAGTGAGAGAGTAGAGGGAAATAACTAAACTCCAAAGTCAACTTATGAAATCAAGTAGCAGTTAACTGATCAGTAGGGGTGATCTTGGTCTTACTTTGAACTGTCCAATTAATCTGCAGGGTTTTGGTGGGGGAAGACTTCGTGTGGGCAGTTACAGGAGCAACATGCTGGATGGGGATGAGAGAGAGAGCTTCTCCAGAGAGCCTTGCAGTGGCTGTGGCCACCAACAGATCATGCCAGAGTGAGATCAGCTTGGAAGGCAGTGCCATGTGTAGAGATTTAGTCCTCTCTGAGAAGAGGAGCTAAAAGGCAGCACATGGCAGGGCGTTCTAATGCCTCAGCCTTTTGTGTACTTTCATAGCCAGATGCCCAATAACCCTACCGGTTCCTCCATGCTGCTAAAATCAAGGCAGCAGGCAGGCGAGGTGGTGCCCATCTGTAATCTCAGTGCTGGTGGAGGGCTGTGATGAGTTTGAGGCTAGGGTAAGCTACATAGGGAGATCCTGTCTTACAAGAGGAAGAAATGAGTGAAATAAAACCACCATTTATAGGGTTTAGACTACTTGGTGGTGTCCACTTAGTCTGTGTAACTGATGATCAACTCCACTTAGTGTAGCAGAGACATAGTCAACCGTGAAGTAGTTGCCCTTTGCAGCAAATTTCTTCCATCTTCAGGAGCCACACAAAGTATACAAAGCTGTCAGTCTGGCTAGAGCATCAGATCAATTTCAGTCTGATAAAAAGGCTCTTTTCTTTCTTTCTTTTTTTTTTAGGTCCTAATGCTGGCCCTGATGGTCTTATTCCATGGACAAGGTTCTGTAAGGTGGGTGCTTGCTGCCAGGGTATTAACATCTGTGACCCTGTGTCCTTCCACTCTGGGGAGGCTTTCCTATTTCTCGCTGTGGTAGTTCACTGTTTGCTTGTTCTGCCATGTTTATCTGTCCTCAACAAACTGCCTAGGGCAAGTTGTTTATTTTCCTTCAGTTCAGGAGGTTGTCTCCAAGCAAAGCCCGACAGGACAGGAAGCACCTGCCTGGGCGATAACATTCTCCCACATCCGAAAGTCTTCAGTTCTCAGGCTGCCTCTTGGTCAGCAGGGTTTTGGCTAAGGCCGTGTGAAATGTGTGCAGTGCCTGGTGCAGAACATTGCACAGGATGTTGGCACCCCGCCAGCTGGAGCTGAGCTGCTCACACTAACCTCCACTAGTGTGAGGGCACCTCTAGTTTTCCAGTCATCCGGGAAACAATCCCTGCTGGGATGGTGCAGTTGGGAGAGGGAGCCAGGGAAAGGAAGAGCACCAGTAAGCCAGTCAGAGGCAGGGGACCCATGCGTGCCCCACTCAGGGACAGCTGCCACTAGTGCCTGTGCTGGGGCCTCTTTGGAAGGGGCAGGGCAAGCCACTGCTTTAGTTAACAGGTTGTACATTTGTATACTTGCAGGAAAATATTAATGATAAAAATTTTTCCTTCTGGCCTTGGATCGACACCATCCTAGAACTCATTAAGAAGCACCTTCTCTGCCTCTGGAATGATGGGTAATGGTCACCGAGCCCCGAATGCGGAAACATAGTTTTGGCATGTGCTCTTAAGACTGAGACAAGGTCTGAGCTGGGATCATTATTTGAGAGGAGTTCTGTCTTCCTCACAGAGATGCACACTTACATGGGGTCAAGGCTTTATGAGAGGAGACCCCCCCATGAGATTAAGCATATCTCAGAATATATGTATATATTTTAAAAGCTAAAATAAAAACAAAAGCCCCCGAGTGCCATTATTGTATTCACTTATTCCTACAAAAACTGTAACTATTTACTGAAGGCAGAGGCAGGCTGATCTCTGTGATCATAACAAGTTCCAGGCCAGTCAAGGCTACACAGTGGGACTCTGTCTTAAAAACAATAGTAATAATAAAAGAAAAGGTGTTTAGCTCATTTGTTCCCAGGATCAACTGATACCTCAACAATATCTTTCAATTGATAAGAAATGCTGGTGTATAAAACTATATCAGCCGAGGCTGCATCTCCAGTATGAGATGCATATGCAGACATTTTTCATGGTGTCCAAAATCAGCAAGTAATAGTAGAAGATCCATCATTTATTTATTTATGGCAATGCCATGTTCATCTTGATTCTTAACTAAGCATATCCATGGGTAAGTGGAGGAGGCTTCTTTTAGTCTCAGTTAAGCATTTTGGAAGTATACATTTTAATAATAGGTTCTATTTCCAAGTGGCAGCAGTTTTCTTAGATTGTAAGTAAAAATGAGAATTAGATTCATGATTGAAATACAACATGTTTCCATTTTGTTTTCCATCTCTTGAATGTCCAGGTGCATCATGGGCTTTATCAGCAAGGAGCGAGAGCGTGCTCTGCTCAAGGACCAGCAGCCAGGGACATTCCTGCTTAGGTTCAGCGAGAGTTCCCGGGAAGGGGCCATCACATTCACGTGGGTGGAGCGGTCCCAGAATGGAGGCGGTGAGTGAGGCGAGTGTGCACACAGGCCAGCCTGCCAGGAGTGTCTGAGACACATCACTGCAGATCAGTCCATTTGAGTAGCTTTGGCACTGAAATGGCATCCCCTATAATTACACAGCTAAGTCTCCACGAGAGCCTCAAAACACCAAGAGTACTGGTGACAAGCTGCCTTGGAGCATGCTGTGGAAGTGATGCATCTCAAAGCACGAGGCCGAGTTTTTCCTTTCTCTCAGGTTGTTGCCTGTAGATCAAGGATATGAGTTAACACTATCTGTGCCCAGTTGTTGGAAGAGATCACATGCCCCACAGTGTAAGATTTCAGACTCAACTTGCTCCAGGGTAGTGTGCCTGGGTGAGGTCCTGTAGGTTTCTCCACACTATTACAGGACCACTAGCATGAAGTGCAGCCCCGCCCACCTTCAGGTAGAGGAGCTGCGCATTCTCTGCCTGCCATATATTAGATTTCTGTTTAGCTAAATGACTAAAATGCTTCAAAACCTCAGTGTTACACAGCAGGCTTCCTGTGATAAAAACAGAACAGATAGCTACTTATGGCTTGCTATTGGAGGGTCAGCTGGATTACCCTAGGTGGTGGGTGCTGAGGTCGCCCAGTTTATTTTCCTGGTAGCTCATCTCCCAAGCCCACTGAGAGATGGGGCTAGGAGACTGGTTGAAGAGGAGGACACTTGGCAGCTGGGAAAGCTTAAGCCCAGCAGTGTTGGCTGTAGGATAGTCAGAAACCCAAGGGAGGGTCCAAGTTTGGAGCAGCAGGGCAAGCTCAGAGGCATCCTGGGCTCCAAACACAGAGGACTGGAGCACAGCTTATACCGGGGAGGGGGGGGTAATAGGGAAGAAGTAGCTTGCAGCATCTTTGTTTTGTTTCAAGAGATGTTTGTTTTAATAAAACAGGGTTTTTCAGTCTGAAAGGAAAACTAGGAAGGGAGCCGATCTTTAATAACACGATCTGCAGCCTGAACCCAGTGACCCAAGCAGAGGTTAGTTATCTACAACAGGCATTGCTTTGTTAAGGATGCAAGCTTTGGATTAGAACTAGACCCTGACCAGAGAGCAACAAGTGCAATGTTACCAGTCAAGGCAGTTCTTGCTTTTCCTCCTTTAAGGCAGGATTACTGTCTGTAGAATACAGAGGCCCTGGGTGTACAGACCTTGCAGGCTGTACCTGGGTCTCACCGGGAGCTGTCTGTAAATCTTTAGTCCTCTCTGTGGGGCTAGGTACGCAGTGAGCCTCACTGAATTTTCTCCTTTTAGAACCCGACTTCCATGCGGTTGAACCCTACACGAAGAAAGAACTTTCAGCTGTTACTTTTCCAGATATTATTCGAAATTACAAAGTGATGGCTGCTGAGAATATTCCAGAGAATCCCCTGAAGTATCTGTACCCCAATATAGACAAAGACCATGCCTTTGGGAAGTATTACTCCAGGCCGAAGGAAGGTGAGTGTGAAGCAAGCTGTGGCGCCCCAGTGAGGGACAGTGCAAAAAGGTCCTTCCCGGTGCTCAGTTGCTCCCAGACAAGTTCAGTGACTCACACTTCGTGAGGGCACAAATGCCAACCCATGTTGTCAGTGTTTCCAACCCTTTGTGTGTGAATCGATGAAGCAGGCTTTTAAAAAACAGCATAAACTCAGTAAATTGAAATGAAGTATATTGCTTGGCTTGATGTGGCTAATAAGAAATGAATACACATTTCTATTTTAAGGATATTGGAAAAGTCCATTTCTGGTTTTGTATATTTGTTACTGCTTTTTCCACATGGAAGGGTGAGGGATAAGAACCAAGGCTAACTAATTTCTAGCCTGCTTGAGTTAAATGGAAGAAACCAAGGTCCAGGGCAAGTGAGTGTGGTCCATTCAGGTGGACTTAGTTACTTATTAGGGCCTATTGTCCTTACTATTATGAACAGGAATCCTCTTTGGATACAAATCTGCCTCTCGGTTCATGGGGTTGCATTTGGAAAAACTCAGGTTAGACCCACCCACTTTTGGAACATGCCAACAAAGCTAACAGCTTTTGAAAACTAAAGTCTAATTAACAGAGTCTTAACTCTGAAGATGCCTGTCCCCACAGATGTGCATACCCCCACAGATGTGCATATCCCATTAGCTAGACCAGCAAGGCCTTGGCGCACACAGGCTTCCTTCACCTTCTTGTAGGATTACAACCCTTGGGAAGAGAAAACCGGCTAGATCTGGGCTTTCTCCTGGCTGTTTCTCCATTTCCACTAGGACCTCATGTGACTTAGGCAGGAAGGTCATGACCTCAAAAAGTTTCAGGACAATAAGCTGTCAAGTCAAACATAGGAATGGATTCCTCAGAGTGACTGTTCTGCTCCCGTGTAATTTCTGCTAACCTGAAATGTCCATGATGTGCTTGTTTCCAGCACCAGAGCCAATGGAACTCGATGACCCTAAGCGAACTGGATACATCAAGACTGAGTTGATTTCTGTGTCTGAAGTGTAAGTGAGCACAGAAGACTGACATGTTCAAACCTCAAGCCACCCTCATTCCTGGCTGGGGCCCATTGATTGCACTGGCCTGTAGCTTGCTTTTCTATTATAGTCGATGTTGCCACCACAGTCGGACTTTTTGGAAAGACCCTAACTAGTCTTGGTATGACTGCTTACCAGCATTTTACTGCCTTAAGATAAACAACAACAAAAGAACAACAATAAACAAAATAAAAATAACAAAATTGTATGTGAGGAATATACTTTCTCCCCAAATCGAGACTTTGAAGAAGTATGAATAAAATAAACAAAAATTTATGAGTGGGAAAGTAGTTCTTTTCAACGAAGAAAAGGCCAAAGTCATAACTGAGATACATTTTCTCCACCTGCTTTTGTTTTGTTGTTTCATTTCATAAAAGGTAGAAAGTTTTGGAAAGTCATTGTCAGTTATTTGGCTTGCAGCACTGTCTTGGGGTGAATGGATGTAGCCTTCATGTAAAAACACTCTCTGGAGCAGCCTTATCTGCATACAACCCTCAAGGTAGGGACGAGGGATTCCCCAGACACTTCTCTGGTGCTTAGCTCTGTCCAGGGTAAGCCTCAAGAGTCTGCCATCTCAGGACGACAGTGCACATGTTCACACTGAGGCTTCACCAGGCAGCAGTGGTGTAGGCTTCAGTCTGGCAGCTGCTCACTCATGTCTAAAGTCTAGTGTACCTCCCGGGGCCGGGCTGGGGACATAAACCTCCCATCATCTCTACTCTTTCAGATATACTTCATAAAGTGTGCACTTTTCTGAAATAAAAATATGAAGTGGTCGCTCAATCGCAGATGAAAGATAGCGTCTCTGCTGCCTATGTAACTTGGTATTAATGCTGCCCTTTCCCCTCTCTCTTCTAGCCACCCTTCTAGACTTCAGACCACAGATAACCTGCTTCCCATGTCTCCAGAAGAGTTTGATGAGATGTCCCGGATAGTGGGACCTGATTTTGATAGTATGGTAAGTACTGTGGCAGGGGTATTCCCACCCTGAGAAAGCCTGAGGCAGGCCGGTACTGCAGCAGGTCTGGTCTGTCTGCTTTGGGCTTTTTGCAAAGATGAAGCTGTGTTTAAGAAAGCTGCAGCATCAGCAGGACTTTATCTGTAGTGTTCAGGTGCTCACGTTCCCTTTCCCACACTAAGGGACCAGGGTTTTCAGAGGCAGATGTATTCCTGTGGCTGCAGATTCTAGCTGGAGCCTCGGGAAAAGAGTTATCCTTAGGAAGGGACAGATGCCCAATGGTGCACCGGTTACATACTAGCTAGCAGTGGTGAACAGTTCTGCCTGCTTTGTAGCTCAGGTTTAACTGATGGAGCCAGCCTCCAAAGCTGTGAAGGACGGGCAGGAGGAACAGATCAGGGAGGGAGAGTTAATGGGCTTCACGATCTAAAGAGAAACACGGTGTTTACAAATGAATCTTCTTTGGGGAGAATGTTTTTCAGCAGATCCAGTAGTACCTCTTTCCTTTCAGTCTGAGATCCATCATCCCACATGTTTTGTTGACCAGCTGGCAGTCTTGCTGATGCTGTTTAATTTTCAGCCCCTTTTCACATGGAGTTCTCCAGTTCCTTTTTCAAAGCTTGCTTAATGCTTTCAAAAATAATTCTCTTAGCCTTTGCAGGCCTTTCTTCATTGCTATGTACTCTGTGCCTAGCAAAAAATGTGTTCAGCACTGAGCGTCAGAGAAGGGGGCCAGGAGAGAGGGTGAGGGACGTTCATGTGCTCAGGGATTGCTTAAGGGTCGCCTCATCGATGCCTGTGTCTCACTTGACTTTGACTTTGAACACGTCATGAGGTGACTAAACAGCTTAGAAAATACTTCCTTGGAGCTTCCTGATAGCTGAGAATTGCTCAGCTTGTTAGTGTGATCACAGAACAATGCTGCTGTCTTGCTGAAGTGACCTCCAGTCTTTGTGAAGCAGACTGGAACTGTGAAAAGTGTTCTGTAAATCTCATACATGGAGTAATGGCAAAGATTGATTCAGAAAATGTAAACTAGTCCCAAGGGTCCAAAAATAGGGTTAGCTTTTACACCTCCTTTGTTGCTCAGAAAACCCCATCACATCACTAGCGTCACCAATGATGATAAGTGGCATTTGTGGCACCAGGCAGCCGCTCTTTGCATGTACTATGGTGAAGGCAAGGCAGGGCTGGGTAAGAAGCCTATGACTGGAATTTGGCAGGCAGAGTTCCAGCTGTCATCACCATTGCTCCCTGTGATCTAAAAAACTAAGCCATTAGCTCCATTTGTGCAAGGAGCACTGCTTTCAATACACTAGTGTGGTGATATTGCCGGGGGCAATTTATACCCTCAAACAAATCCCAGGAAGTGGGTCTGTAGTCTTTGGATGCTCCCTGTAGCCATTCTGTTCTAGCAATTTTATTTGTTTGATTTATGGAGGATACATAGGGATATGTAGATATAATAAATTAGTATGTGGTAAATACTCACTTATTATAGTAGTCTCTAGGTGAAACCCCAAGGATCTCAGGGAATCTCTAGCCGAGGCTGACTAGGCAAGGTGAGAAAGAAATTTGCCTTTCAAAGCAGCTTAACTTCACCATAGTGTGCTCCACAGTGTGTGAGGACCACAGCATTCTCAAGCCTTTTCATGACTCCTTTCCTACGTTGACTCTTGGAGTAAGAGCACGAGGGCTTAGTGAGATGGCTTTGCCTGAAATCCAGGCAGTTACAAGGCTGAGGCAAGAGGCTCATATGTTGGAGGCCACATTGGCTGCATAGAGTTTGTCACAAAACAAATGGAATTAGGTATGTGATCTGAAGTGAATTCGACTCTGAACTGGCTTATTTCCACCAAGTGTGGAGGTGGTAGCTATGGACTAAAGAGGTAGTGAGGGTTGCTGGCCAGTCTAGCCTTGGTGCTGAGTGTCTACGGGGGCCAGCATTCCAGGGTTTTCTATAATATGACTTGGGTATTTATGTTCCCATATGAACTGACTTGCCTCTCGGGGCTGAGGTAAAAGCAGTCTGCTTTCCTAGAAGCCTTTGTTCAGACAGAGCTCATACCAACACAGTCTGCTATTTTCTTCTGTGTGATGGCCATATTATACATGCTTCCTTTGACCAAACCAGGGTGTTTGGCGCTATTAGCCAACTTAGGACATGAAGAACTTGAGGTTTATAGACGTTAATAAGCCAAGCACATAGTGATAGGATTTGGATGCAAGTTTTCTTTCTCCCTTTCTCCCCCTGCTCCTACAGTACAGATTTGTGCCGTCAACCAGACTGCAACCTAAGAGGCAAACCCTTCAACAGGCTTTTCGATCTAAAATTGCTTTCTTAGAACTCCCAGGAGGCTTTGTGGTCTAGTGCTGTTTCTTCTGGTGTTTGGGGCTGGCGAATCCATCACCATGGGGCTGCCCTTTATACTGAAGAATGTGTAGCAGTAGCCTAGCCTGGTCCTCACTCTAGAATAGATGACGTCAGGAGCACATGCACACGCATACCCTGCAGTGGCAGTGGCAGCAGTGTCTTCTGAGTAGCCAGGGGACAGACCCATCCCAAAGACAATGGGGACTCACCAACATGGACGTCGGAGGCCTTGGCAGGCCAGTGTAGTCTGATGGACAGTTTACTGACTACAAACTCCTGTGTCCAGGGCAGCTGGGCAGGCTAGGGTGGGAAGCTGAAGTGCTTCATAGTGATTTTACTTCTCGGGCCCACACTGGAAACAGGCTTTGTTTATTTTGTCTACTCAGTAGCCTTAAAGGGAACGTCATCATTTCCCTCTTATCCCTCTCTCCCTCTGGCATATGGCTCAGCATTTCCTCACACTCATTCTGAATGAGCTGATTTACCAGGCTGCTATCCCCAGACTTGCATAACAGCAGAAAGCTTTATATAGTCTGTCTGGGTCCAGTCACAAATTAATCCAGCAGGCCAGAGAGGAATAAACCATCAGGTGATGTAAGCGGCCCTGACTAGTTTGGGGAGGATGGGACATGCTAGCCCTTCTGGCCCATGGTGGTAATTTTCCGTAGGAAGTACCCTCCTGCTCGAAGGGCAGTGGTGTTAGACACATGAATCGCATGTCACAAGATCCCGTGCAATGAACCTAACTGCATTTTGTCTTTTTGCAGATGAGCGCAGTATAATCACGAATCTCTCTCTTCTCTGGAGACATTTTCCTTCCCATCTGTGATTCCCTCCTGCTACTGTTCCTTCACATGCTGTATTTCTAGGGAAATGCAAGAAAGAACAACACCATTTGTTGCACCCTGTTGATAGCAAGTGACTATTTCTCTAATTAGAAACCTGTTACTCTGAAAGACTTCGTGCATCTTACTGAAGGTGAAACGGAAAGTCACTTATGCAAAGTAGATTCTGCGAACAAAAAACAGATCCACCCAAGGCATCAGGACTAGAATGCGAGTGTTTTGGGAAAGGTGAGGAATATAGTAACATCTAGTAAATGCTGTGTAGTCAGTGCCCAACTGCTACACATCACTAAACAGATGCGTGGTTATGGGGGGGCCTCTTGATGTAGGAATATTTCTGTCCTGAAGATACTAGCATATCCCCTCTGCTTTATGACTGGAAGCCTTCCACTGTTTTACCTATAGCACAGTTCAAAGCCAACTTTATGTACGGTGATATATCCAACTATGGTGGGTACCCTCCTCTGAGTGGGTTATTACATCTTCTGCACTGGCCATGTAAAGCTAAAGGCACGGTCACTCTCTTCAGAGAGTCAGCTTTGTTATTAGTTATGGCTAAATGAAACTAAACACCCCTAGAAGAAAGAACATTTCCAAATTCACGAGTAGTTTCTGTTTAATATATACTCCACCAAGCTAAGTGGTTTTTGCTGTCATTTTGGTGGTCACCAGTTGAATAAAACTATCTTTGCACATCCATTAAGGGGCCAGCTTTAAGGCAGATACATTTTTAATACTGAAATTACAGACCTAGATAAACATGGCAGTTCAATTCATGTTCTTAAATAGGCTGTCTTTATTATTTTTTAGCTGGTTGTTTTAATTAGCCATAAAATTAGAGAAAAAGAGTAGTACCTGACTTGAATTGTTAGTCAAATATGAGTATCAAATAATTTCAAAACACAACCTATGTAATGGCACTGAAAACCATTATTCACTGATAAATGTATTTTCCTGACAATTACATTCACGAAAGGTTCCGTGGTGTGTCATGTGTCTTATCACACACCTTTCTGGGGGACGATGTTTTATGGCATGTGCTGTTCTTTCACTTTCTTTAGTGGTACAGCACAGTCCAGTGGGCCAGTCAGGTGTTGCATTGGTTGGCAAGGTTCCTCTGCGCAGCTGTCTCAGACTGCTGTCCACGCAGCTGTAGCTGCCTTCCATTGTCACCACTACAGCTGTGCTATCCCACGATGTTGTTTTACTTGGTGGAGATAAGTCCACTTCCAACCAGTAAACATGCACGGGCCTTTCCTTAGCCCCACACAGAAACGGAGGCCTCCGCTCTTTCTGTGTACACAGTGGGACACAGACTCTTAAATTGAAATGATCAAGAAACAAAAAGTTTAAAAAGTACTGTTTCTAAATGCTGAGGTCTAACTATTGCTTATTCTGTCTATTGAGAATAGTTGTTAAGGTTCCATTCTGCTGAATTGAGAATTTAAAAAATGTTAAAATGGTGTTAGTCTCCTATCGGTATTTAATATAAAAATATTTAAAATGTCTAGTATTGTGAGTTGGTTTAATATGTATCTCATTTATGTATCAGGCCTATTTTAAAATAAGGTTAATAACACTATTGTTTTAGGTGTTACCCTTGCTTACTATCTTGGTAGTCACAGCTAACTATGGCAGTTTAAGGTGGGTCAGTGGGCAGGCCCCATGGTAAGACCACTTGTGAGGAGGCAGTGGCACAAGGATCAGGAGTTTAAAGTTATTCTTGGCTACACAGCAAGTTCAAGGCCAGCCTGGGCTATGAGTTCTTAACTCCTGAAAAAAGAGGGGGAGGGACATAAGAGAGGTATCTAAGTCCGTGGAAGACAACCCATTTACATTCTTGGGTAATTGACTGTTGTAAGAAGTCACCAGACATATCCTAGCTTAAGGATATTTGTGTGTTTCAGTATATCTAGGATAGGATACTAGCATATATGATATATTCTCTAAGAATAGAGTATATATATATATATATATATATATAGCGTGGGATAAACTTCATTTAGGCACTTTCTGAGGTGGCATTACATAAATGAAATCTATTGTCTGCCTGAAAAACTAATGTGGAATGTGAAGGCATGTGTCGGCAAACAGACCAGACCCATGACACCTGGCTGCACAGGGAAGGCGCCAGACAAAAATGGAAAGTTGAAAAGCCCTTTCACTTTTGGAGCTGGGAGGCTGCTCCCCATCTTGAGGGTATTATTTACCTGAAGGCATATTTTGTTTAAGATTCTTTCATTTATTCATCAAATATTTTGAGTGCCTGCTTTGAGCCAGATGTTATTCTAGATGCTTGGAAGACACAGGTAAATAAAACAAGTGTCCCAGTGTCATAATTTAAGATGTTCTCAGACACCAGGCCTAACGCTCATTAGTCACTGTACCCATTTAAGTGTAATGGTTGGTGGATTAGAGCACCTGCTGCTCTTGCAATGGGCAAGGTATAGTTCACAGCACTTACATGGTGGCTCACAGGCAATTCTAACTACAGTTCCAGGGAATCTGATACTTTCTTCTGACTTCCATGGGTACCAGGCACTCATGTAGTGTATATAATCTAATCTCTTCAACTAGTCAACTAGTAAAGTGTACATAAATTCCAAGAAATAGCATTTAAACTGTGTGCAGGAAGCTGGGCCTCCTCAGAATTGCTTTAAAGCCTTGACTGTTCAGTGATAACCAGTGAGACCCAGCATCCCAATTCTGGGAAACTAACTTTGGACTGTGTATTATGTACTCAGACATGATTTATTGTAGAAAAAAAGTAGTGATTTATTAAAATTATGTGTGAGTACACAAAGTAAAGCTACCCAAAAGCTAGAGATGTCACATATCTATCATCAGAATTGTTAATTTTATATTTTATAATGCTGTAATACTCAATTCCTTATTGTTGGAGGGTTTGCAGCCTTCCCCATGCCTTGTACATAAAGTCATAATATTTTGGTGTCATGACTGTCTAGCTGCATAGCTGATCTTCTGCTGATAGTGTGAAAAGGCAGCAAGAGGCATGGCTGCCCCACATGGCCCAGTCAGGTCAAGCTCCAGAACAGAGCCCCCTGAGCAGTCCTAATGCCTTCCAGCCCATTGTCTTAGCTTCTATCACCTCGTTTTAAAACAACTATCTTAATAATTGCTAAGTCTAAACCCTTTCTGTCCCAAAACACATACACCCTCTAGCCTACTAACTCATATCCTCTCATACCTAGATAATTTCCCATTCATAAAAAGTGTGTATGAGCCACCCAGTACATCCATGGGTTGCTTCCTTGAACATCCATGATTTATGAACTTACTCATATTACTATAGGGATTAACAAAATTAACCTAAACTCTTAAAAAAGTACCATAAAAATAGAGTGATCATTACATTAGCAAATACAGTTTTTCACTATTAGGTTACCTGTGGGCCCTGCAATGACACCAAGCTTCCATCTGCAGGTAAAACATATGTGCAGTAGAAGTTGACTGATTGCAAGACTTAATACTGTCATGCTTGGCCCTAAGACTATAACTCATAACTGTTAGCTAATCAAGTAAGTGAAGATGTGTTTTACATGTAACTGCATGTTAGAGTTCAGGGAAAGAATATGGGATTGAGAGTTCCATATTGCAGTCCACTCTTTGGCCCCAGCTTTATCAGTAACAGAGTGGGTTAGATCAGATAATTTCACGTGTCACTTCAAGTTCTAAAATGTCAGTGACAGAGATGCCTAACGCCACAGCTCCTATAACCAAGCAGCTTGGTTTGTGGCACAGAAATCTGATAAAATGAAAATGGAATTGGTGTGATGTTCTCATACCTTCTGTGGTAAGAGAACCAGACACTAACTTTAAACCCAAGAGGACCAGGGCATTCTGGCATTGGACCGAAAGCCACTCCCACATGTGAGGAATTCAGGGGAGCCATTAGCTAGTCCAACTCAGACCCTAGTGTGGCAGCACTGTGTCCACTCACCAGGGAGATTCAAAGGCTCCGTGGGAACATGCTGTTCTTCAAGGCTGCCTGCAATGGCACAGTGCAGCAGGGATCTCCTGAGCACACTAACTGTACAAGCATGGTACCAGCCTTTGGAGAGCTGAACTAGCCTGACCACCACTAACAGCAACAGCTGAGACATCATGGATCTCATTTTGGTCCTGTGGGCCAAACATCCCACGTGACTCCGTATGCTCCCTGGCTAGATGTGAAATGGCTGCAGCCTTACAGCTCTTCAGTGCAGAGAAAACCTTGTTTAGGAAAATGCATTTCTCACAGCTTGTTTTCAACACATGTATTTATTATGCTTAAAAAGCCACACTACCTGGCCTCATTTAAAATAAGCAATTCCCAATTTCAGAATACTACAATTTATAGTTTTAAGATTTCATTTTGGGAAACGTCGGAGGTAAATACATTCATAGCTTTGGACTCCCCAGGAGGGACCGAAATCCAACATCAGGTCTTTTAGTCCCTGGTAGACAGTAGGGACAGCGAATCCAGCAGTGCAGCTAAAGCGCAGCGTGGGAAGCAGTGGGGTAGAGTGTGTCACCAGACATGGGTGTTAGGACTGGGACAGGGAGACAGCAGTGTAAACAGCTTAAGTCAACATGAGCATGTACTGTTTCCATGATACAGAAAAATCACACAAGATTGTAAAGCCAAAACAAAAAAGATCTTTGGAGTTTACTGACGGCAGCAGTAACAGCTCATTTAAGCATTTAACAAAGAGTTCTCATTGTTATCAGCCAATAGCAAACAGTCATATAACACCATGAAGGAAAAGAGCATGTTTAACCAAGCCACAAAGACTGTACAAAACAGCTCTGATCTCAGAAAAGATGACAACTTTTGTTTTCAAATAGTATACCAAGCAATATTCAGAGAAGCCTCAAAGTCACTGGTAATATTGAAGTCACGGATTGAATCACACAAAGGCAGCAGCTCCTGGGATACAGCCATCTTAGTTGATTCCAATTAAAACATGCTCACTCCTTAACTTTGGAGGTGACCGACCACCTGTCCACCTGTCTTGAGAAGCTTGTGGAAGCAGGAATGCAATGGCAGGGCTAGGTGCCCCCCCCATACTTCCCAGTTCTGGAACTTAGAATCTAAACATGTTGGTGGTGCCTGGTTCAGTGAAGGGACACTAGCCACAGTTTCATCAAGGGAGGTGCTGGCTAGAGAATGGGAGGGGTGGTTAAAAAGAGGATCAGAGCAGCTAGAAGCTATTGGAGTGAACGATGTGCTGATGGGCGTCATAAAACTTGGGTGCCACCTGTGTTGATAGTGAGGGTCAAAGGGGATGCTGTATCAATGTGGTAACCACTAGCATTTGTGTAGTTGAGAAGTTTGCTTATTCCACAAGCAGTTTCCAAGACGAGCATTTGTGTGTGTACATGCATGCAAGCATGTGCTTAATTATCAGAAGTCTTCACTAACATACCCCTCATCTCTTGGAGGTACAATAGGTTACAACATGTTCAATTCCTAGAAAATTGTGTTCTTCCTAAGGTCCTTTTTACCTGTTTTCTCAATTAATCAAAAACTACTTTCCAAAATCAAAGCAATGGTGAGTCTAAATTTACAGAAAAGTGACTTCTTCTTACTAATAGAATCCAGACAGGAACAGAGGGAGGGAAATCCAGAATGATGCCTGGCCCTCCAGAAAGGGTGCCAGCTAATGCAGGCTTCTGACAGTAGACTAAAAGCAAATATTACCTGTAGCAGTTCCTAAGTATGTCACTGTAACTTTGGTAACTGAAAGCATTTCTGAATTTTTCTTTATTGTAGAAGCTGAAAAGGAACTTGTGAGTCCACACTGTCTTTACTCTTAAGAATGACGGCTAATTTAGACATCTTAATTTTGATTCATCTTCTCGGCCAAGCTCTATCTCTGATGCTCGGACTGTGAGGCTGGATGACTTGCTGAGGAAACATGAGAACTGCATGGCATGCCAGCACTCACTTCTTTCCCAGCTAAGGGGAAGTGACAGCTAAATACCACAGAGAGGCTGGCCTAAGGACCATAGAGAAAGGAAAGGGTTTAAAAGTGCTAGACTATATTCACACATATGTTTTGGTCACGAAACATATCTTAACAGATTCCCTGATAAAATCTAATCAGAACTGGCAAATTCTATGAACAGCTAGTAGCTATTTTAATATTTAAGGAGTCACACTGTTAAGTTGGGGGTGACAGTCATTTTAAACACTCAACCATGTTAGTGCATATGGTTGTTCAAACATTCAAACTAAATCTATATTTAAAGTCTTGAAAATCACACTGTTTTCATCTAATAACAGCGTTGACCCCGTGGATAGACTGTACAACAAAGCTTAACTCATAAATGCGTATGAGCATATCATCACCCAGGATTGAAAATTTACAAAACACACAAATCCTGAAGACCACACCATCCAGCTAGCATTGGAAACTATTCTTTTACATCAAATTGTACAACGCACGAGGTAACTATTGCTCACATTATGAAGGGAGGTTGTTTTATTTCTATTTTCCCCAAAGAAATCAGATGTGTCCTGTGTGCACAATGAAGGAAACTCCAGTAACACTGACATGACAAATTTGTAAAGTACACATCACTACCAGCTAGAAATATACATGTTCTTCACAATCATGTTCCACAGCTCAGTAGGTAAGTGATTTCAGAGCGTTACAGCAGCCCATCGAGGTTCTTGTGGACAGTCTGACTTTCCTTCCCATTGTCGGGATCCCCTTGGGGTGTGTACTGGACTTGGTACTCCTGGAGGATTTTAAAAACATCATGGTGTCCAAAGTGCAGCGCTTCATCCATGGGGGTGTTGTTCCACCTGCAGCACAGCACACACAGGCTCGTCACTACTACACAAACATGCTTGCCCAGCACCCCCAGGCTCTAAGTCCAGGCCCCATGGCCACTCAAGTTCAGCTACATTAGCAGCATTACAAGTAAGAGCAGCAAAGACACACAAAAGGACTTGAAGTACATTGATCTGAGGGGACCATCTGAAGAGGACAACAGAATGAGCTCGAAGAAAAGACCGTTTCCATATCCACATGCTAAAAGAGGGGCAGACATTTAAAAATCAGGCAGTAACATGCATCACCCTAACCTTTCACAGAAAATGTATGTTCCTGAGAATTCAAAAGTCACAGTAAACTCTAGAAGTCTTCCAGGTTTCTAATGACCTCCTGACATTAAACATGTCAGATAAGCGAGGTCTGTTCAGTGGAAGCAACCTTCTATTATATCCAGAAAGGGCAGGAAGCTCAACTGGCCTGACCAGAGCTCCCCACCCACACTGAGGGGGAGATGGGACTCAAAGACAAGCAGAGAGTTGCCACAGCAATGAGTGTCAACTGAGCATTCTGCACCCCAAAAGCCCAAGGCCCAGCAAACACCACACAAGGCTCCTTCATTACCCATGAGCCCGCCCATTTCTCTCCCACCTCCTGGATTTTGCCTCTTTCCATCATTCAGTATCTATCCTGAACCTTCTTTTCCCTTTTTAATAGGTCACAGCCTAAAACAACAACAAAAGAAGTACTTACTTTAGCATTTTACTTCTTTCTAGTGGTCTGTTCTTAATGTTTAAAATCAGGTAAGTAACACTTTACATGTCTCTTATGTTTCTCAAGACACAGCTGAACCCTTCTGTATGGCTTTCATTAGGAAGTCATGGGCTCTAATGTGACCAAATACTTGTGTCAGTTTTGGGGAGGAACTGCAAAGTCATATTCTTTACATCTCTTCCATTACACAATGAAAAGACCACCAGTAATAAGCACACTGTTTCACTCTTGCTATTTTATAATTTAGGTGATACTGATTCTATCTGATGGGTAAAATACTCCTGGGTGTAGGCTTCATTTCTGGGTACACAATTAAATACACAGTTACTGAGTTATTTAGCTACCTAAGTCTATAAGATGAACACTTGTATTTCCACATTCTTAGAGACCAATTTGGAGTGGAGGAATTCACATAGTAAGTATTTCCACGTGTATTAAATAGTGTTTGAGTTGAGTTATAAACACAGGGAGACACTGTTCAGTCACTTACTCATAAGAAAGAACTACAGTGGGTACTATGCGGGGCAGACAGGAGGTCAACCACCTTGAGATTTTAGAGGACTGCCAACATAACTTCAATCATTCTTTTTAATAACCATTGGAATGGAGAGACAGCCAATATGTTACCACCTCACAAAATTCCTGGCAAATTTCAGATACTTCTCACTTTTTGCAAGCTGACCAAGATTTAGGCACCCCAAACTAAGGCTTAGTAATCAGATCAGCTCCCTGGGAGGTAGTCAACTTGCTCCAAACTTTGTGGTGGCTCTCAAGCTTCATGGAAAATTTTACTCATCCAACAGCACCAAGTATGGTTCCCTTGAATTCTCCTATGCTTCTGTTCTCACCGTGCACTGATGGCTCACATACTCCTCTCTAGGAGAGGATGCTCAAACAGTGGGCACAGTGGTGCACGCTTAGCACCGCCTTCAGCCCCATGCTGGGAAGTGGCCATGTGGGCCAGGAGGGAGCACAGAGGAGCAAGGTGTTTTGGTAGTCCCTCCTACTGCAGGCAGAGTACCCTTCCTCATTCAATGTTTCAAATGTCCTTTCCTCCAATAGGCCACCGAAAATCCAACAGCCTTCTAAAATTAGGTGCCCCAAATCCAGGGATACCAATCAATTCCAACACATTCAAGGTGAATTTTCTTTTTAATAGACTTTCCCATGCTCCTGTGTGTCTGCCCTGTGTAGTTATTCCCATGAGAACATAATTCCTATTTCATCTTTTCAAATACAAAAAGGGCCCTCTTCATATGGGCTTACTGATAGCCCAGCCTGAATTTTCTCAGTAAGATACCACTCATTCTTAGATAAGGAGTTCGATGTCATACAGAAAACAAGGTTTTGTGTGTTGCCTTTGTAAGGCACCACAAATTTAAAAGCCCCTTGGTGGATTCACATGGAACCATGGCTCAACATTACAATTTTGTGTATTCACACTGTTATCAATTATGTTAGAAGGTAATGTAAATACTCACCTGTCCTTCGGGAAAGGGTTTACTTTGCAAGCTTCCAGCAAAAACTTAACAACTTCAACATGACCTATACTCCCCAACACACACAAAAAAAGATTTTAGTCTTGAATAAAATTTGAAACTGTAACAAGTGAGTAAGTGGCTCAAGCATTACCCTCTGCAGCAGCCACATGGAGCGCTGTCCTGGAGTCATAGTCCCGTTGCTCCATGTCCATGGCTGATAAAGCAAACCTGAAAACCATAAATAGCTGTTCACTATACAAGACCAGTTTAATTCAGTGATAACACTTACTCCATTCAGGTCCCATGCTCTACCAGCATCATTAAATGGTAACCAGTTCACCCAGTACAAAGCTATGGGGAAATGCCATGTGGCCTATCTTCCTTAGGTGTGCTACTGTGAAGTAAGAGAAACATTGGCTGTCTCTCCCAGAACTAAGTGTCATTACATTATTCTTTAAACTCAAGAATAGTGTTAAAGAGGCAAAAAACACCTATAGTAAAGCTACATGTTTTCAGTACGACTCCCGTTTTTTAACCTATATTGCCTGGAGTTACACATACTAATAAGTCTTTGCAATAGCATGGGAATCAGCTTAGCCATGACCATGGCTATGCAGTAGTAGTTGCAACTCTGAAAGGGAACTCACACTTGGTGTTCACTGGTCCATGACCTTTCTAATGCTGGTTACATGTACAACACCAAACACCCTGACTCCTATCTCACCAGAGCTCTGTTATAGTGAGCCACTATCCAGTTAGTGGGCCAGTTACCACAGAGACCTGGGCTTTGCTGAAGACAAGAAGCAGGTCCAATACACTGCAAGTGGGACGGGTGGTCTAAGTGGAAGTGGGGGTAGTTTATACCTTGTTTGGGTGACTTTTATTAGAAGGGCGAGCGAGACCTTAACCTTAAGACAGGTGCTTGAGCAGATGCACCTTCAAACACCCAAAGCCACAGCATATCCACCCAGCCAGTGTACCTCCGGAGGGCAGACACATCTCCAGTATACGCAGCAAACAGAAGGTTTATCACAGACTTTACCTGTGAACAAGGAAAAGACAGACATTTGCAGAAGAAAACAAACCCTGAAACCCTGCCACTGCCATGTGGTTCCATGTGCTTTGAACTTCAGCTGTATTGATCAAATATTATCTTGGGTATATATCTAAAGAACACACAAGTACTTTTCTTTTACTAGGACGATAGAAAATGAAGTAAAAAGATATATGTAGAAAAGACTAGATAAATTGGAAGCATGCAACATTCATCTGCAATTAGAACAATTGAAAATTCTTTAAAAAAAAAAAAACTCAGATAGCTTGTCTCGCCATTGTAAATGAGTCTGTATATGGGCAAAAGTCATCACATACTACAACCGACTCAGGCTATATGATGTCCATCCCTGGCAGCATTATTGTCCACACTAGTTACCGACTTCTTTGCAAATCAGAGAGATAAAAGCTAGTGTGTGCCACTGTAAACTTAAGAACAAAACTGATCTTCATTGGAGAGTCATGATTTTTGCCCTGATGATTGCTGTAAATGGGGGCATGCTCAGAACACAGGGCACTGCCTGAAAGGTAAGTCCCTGTGACAGAGTGCTCCAAGACTTAGGTGCATCTGCTTTGGATAGTTATCTGCTTGTTTCTACAGTCAAATGGAAAAGGCTTGTAATTCTAAGACCATACAGCTCTGTTCTATTTTCATTCAGACTATCTATCCCCATGTATTAAAATCCAGATACTACTAACCATATTGCCACTGCCACGTTTACACCCTGTAGACACTGCTTATCATACACTGACATGGTTTACACCCTGTAGACACTACTGTCATATACTGCCACGTTTACACCCTGTAGCATGAGTATTTTGATGACTCAATTGAATGGAACTCAGTGGTAGACACATTAGTCTAATTGGGGCAGTGTGGCCCAGCTCTCTAGGACCAAATGGAAATGCTTCCCTGCAGACATGAACTTTGTTGTTACCTTCACCTGATGGCTCCCTTTCTACAGCCTAGCGACTTTAAAGTCGATAGGTGAACATTGCTGAGCTTCTCGGACTTAGCATCTAAAGTGTATCCTGATCACTAGCCAAAAGATTCTCCATGAAAATTAAGGCCCTACATATGTACTAAAAATAATACTAAATTCTGCTGTTGGAGATTCATGGGCATATGGGACTCTAGAGTCCTGAAGCGTGGGAGCTGTCTAGCTATGAGAATGACCCCTAGACACCACTGCTTACTTGCAATCACCTCAAAAGTCCTCCATGCCTATCCCTTCAGCCCACAGGTTCTCCTTTCTGCCAGCCACCACTGCTGCTGCCAGCCTCTATGTCAATGCTGCTCCAGAGCTGGTGGGGGAAGGAGCTTTTACCAAAATTCTGAAAGCATATTTAACATCACTCCTCCATTTGTAGTTGTTTGACTTCTAGGGAAGGTGGCAAAAGCAGGTTCCATTAGACTCTTGGTAACTTTGATGGCTCTGCTGAGTCTCCACTCATGAATGTCCTGATGTGCCCAGCAGAGGGCATGAGAGTCACTGAAATGAGTTGGGAGTCTTTGGTTGAGTCACCCACAAGGTGCTGTGAATCAAGGGTTTCCTGTGGGAGAGCCATGCTCTTCATGAAGTCATCTCTCCAGCCCAGGACCGGCTTGAATCCCAACTGCCCTGTGCTGCTGGGCCACAGGGGGCTAATCACCTGCCAGATTTCTCATTTCCCACTGTCTGCCTCTGCTCAGTTTCTTTTTCTTCCTTAGTTTCTTTTATACTTTCTGCAGGCAAAGTCCAGGGTTAAAGAACCCCACTGGTGACCCCAAAATAGCTAACAAAGATTACAACTTCATTGACCATATAAACACATTCTTACAACTCCCCTCACTCTTGTTCAAAATACCAGCTTCTCTTCCTTCAATCCCTGCCTCAAACCACAATGTTTCTCACTGAGTTGTTTCTTCACCAACGCATGCAGTCTCCCAGACTGCCACCCTGCTGCTGCCATCTTTGCTTCTAGCATTTTCATCTCTAGCATTTCCCTCCCTATGCCCACTCCCCATGGCCTCATTGTACTCCAAAGGAAAGGCTGTCACCATCCCTGTTGTTAGCAGTGTCCCTCAGATGGGATCATATTCTTCTAGTCAGAATGACTTCCCTATCTAGATCTTTGAGATCAAAGGCCCTACTTCCAACTCTATTATTATTTATTATACATTTATCGATTCCACCTGACTGCCCATCTGACATGTGACATTAAAAATCAGACACAGGCCTGAGTCCTCTGTCCATCTGTTGACTGGCCAGTGCCTACAGGATATTCACAACAGGCACCTCATCGTCATGTCCCAAACAGATCTTGCTTTGTGTTGCCATCCTCTTCTCCAGGCTCCCAGTTTGTGCTGACACAATTCAACACTTGTTCATTCTAAATCCCAGAGGTCTTCAAGAGTTGATACATTTTCTTGTTGGGTCCTCCACAGGGATGGTTGACTGAAACCAAGGAGGGTACCAGCGCCAGCCCTTTCTAGCAAAGTGTCCCTACACACGGTGCACCTGCTGGTGGGAAAGGGGCCTCTTTTACCCAGGCCAACTGAGCGCCAAAGTACGGATTCAGAAAAGTCTATCACACAACACTCCTTTCTGTGCTTACAAATCCTCCAAAATGTTTAAAAACCTACCACTTCTCATCACCCGTCAGTGTGGCTCTAGGTTTGCTTAGGCTACAGCTTTACTTTACATGGAGAAATGCAACAGCCTACCCATCCCTGTCTAACCACTACCACAGGAAACTGCCTTCATCTTACCTACAGAACTTAACTCCACTGTGACATGCAGAATACACATGTTCTATTCCTCTCCTGACAGCTTTACCCCACCAGGGAGGTTTTTTTTGGGGGGGGCTTATTTTTGCACTCAAAGCCCCCACTTCTCCCAGGAATGCTTTTTCCACAGTGAGGAGAACCCTTCATTTTACCCAGGCAACTAGCGCAGACTTACCTACCCTGCCTTTTCTTCACTCCTTGTCCCTTATTTTGACTTTTCTACCCAGGAGAACTACTACTATCTGCCCCCCCCAGCTTATTTATCATCTTTGTCCCATTAAATATAAGCTCTGTGTGAGCAAAAATCTCTTACATTTTCTCTCCTACCTGTGACCTGGGTCCATCATGTATACCAAAGTGGTCACTAATCCTGACTAAATGAATATCCTCTCCCAAAGCATCTAACATTCAATGTTATGACTGTCTGGAGATGAGAAGCTTTGGCCCAGCATTCCAGGTTCTTCAGTCTTGCTAATGTGTTTTTCCCTCTCAGTTTTGACACAACATAGCTAAATGGTTACTTTTCTAAGCAATAAAAATCCAGTTTAGTTACTGCACACATAACTAATGACATGCCTTTGTTCTGGGTTGTGCTTGTTTTTAGTGTTGGGGCCTGAACTTGGGGCCTTGCACACCTGAGGAAGGTGTTCTGCCAGTCCTCCCCTTTTAAAATCCCAAATTTAGACCAAGCATCTTTGAAAGTAGTTTTTGTGCCTTGCTTAGTCACTTCGCCACTGATAAAAAGAAGTACCAAAAGAAATGTTCTTTTAAGGCCTAGGATAGGCTTATCTTGCAATATAATTACCCTATTTGAAGTTCACTAACACTTAATCCTCAAGCATGTTGTAGTTCAGAGACAAATACAAATTGAAATTAAATGAGAAAGCAATGGATATATACATTTATTATTCTAACTAAAACAAATGGCCTGAATTTGGTCCGAATCAGTAGAAAAAGTTTGGCCACAAAGTCTCTCTTTCTCTCTCTTTCTCCAAGACATAAGGCACTAAGATGTCACATGCCTGGGTACCACTTAACAAAACATTACAAATGCCTCTTTATTTCAGACACGTTTTCTATTTTAAAGTCCCTATTTGAAGCCCTGACTTTGAACTCATCCTTCCCTTCAGCCCATAGGCTCCTGGGATCACAAGGAGGTGTCATCTACATCTTGTACCACCTAAATTTAGTTTATATAAATCATGTAATGAGCTGTGGGTAGACGAAAGAGGAGCATCACATCACATCACATCTCCTGCTCTCCTCTGTTAAACTGAAACCTCTATAGAAGGACCATTGTAAGGATGCTGTGTAGCCCTAGTCCACAGCCAGGCCAACCTGAGGATGTGGGTGTGCTAAGAATTACAGAGGTTCTTCTGTAACTCTCCTCTTGACACTAGAGGTCTAGAAAGCAATGGGTTAACAGTAACTGCCAGAGTAAAACCCTCTCTGATTCCTTAGTGACATAGAAACTAACCAAACAAGGCAGGGACAGGAGTGTCTGTAAGTCCAGGCTTTAACGTTTAGTATATACCTCCACACAGTGAAAAACTCCCTTGGGGCATGTAGCCAACACAAGTTTATAAATAAATGCCAAGATCCCTTGTCTTGCATGTTTTCCAGTACTATTTTCCAGGTTAAATCTTTGCCAGAGCTTGCCAGAACCAGACACAGTTATCTTAGTTTATTTGTACAAAGTCATGACAACAGTGGAACAAAAACGTTAAGAGTTCATTCGAGTTCACCTGACTCTGGCATGCTTGGCATGCCCAAATCTCTTTTTCTGCAACAGCTAGAACCATTCTAAAATATGACAGAAATCCTAACACCCCAATGTCTTCAACATCTTCTGAACTCCAGAAGTTCAATTGTGACTTCTGTCTGCTTCTCAAATACTTTGCTAACTGCACTTGTAAGTAGTAATTATTAGAATTATGTTGAGTTTATGTAATGGGTAAATTATGAGAAATTCAACATTTAGTTATTTTTGAATCCTTGACAGGCCAGACTAAAATATGTAGATGGTGACATTTTATTTATTAAATGCTACTGAGACTAATAGTCTTGGCTTAAGGTCACAAGACACAATCAGTGATCAAGTTCAGAACTCAGGCATCTGCATTCTCAATTCTGCACTTGGCCATGACAGAGTCCTTAGCCGAAAAGGAGAAGGAAGTTGAACAAGTTAGCTCTAATTCCTAAGTGACATTTGCTAAATA